GCAGAGTCACCCAATCCGACACCGGCAGCGTGTCCAGTATGCTCCCAGGACCATCAAGTGTGGACATGCAAAGAGTTCAAGGAAATGGATGTGGACAAGCGTTGGAAAGTGGCGAAAACACATCGGCTCTGCTATCGCTGTCTGGGCAAGGGCCACCGAGGTGCTGACTGCCAGCGGAAGAGAAAGTGTGGCGTAGACAAGTGCAGCGATACCCACAACTATCTGCTTCACAGGGCAGTAGCCATTGACACGTCTAGAGCCAGAAATGGCACGGAAAGGGGTCGTACCAGTGAGACAGCCAGAACCACAACCACTGCTAACATCGGAGCAGGCGTCAGACCGTTGTCACTGAGAACCTTGCCGGTCGTTTTACGAAACGGTGACTGCAACCTCAGGGTGAATGCGCTGTTGGATGATGGGAGCACCCAAAGTTATGTGAACACAGAGGTAGCGGACCAGCTCAACTTGCAGGGACCCATGAAACGGGTTTCGATCAGCACCCTCAACGGAGCAGTGGAGTCTTTCGAGTCAATGCCAGTGGATCTGCTGGTAGAGAGTGTAGATGGCAAGTTCATCAGTCCGTTCTCAGCCATCACAACTAGTCACGTCACAGGCACACTGAAACCGTACGATTGGACCGTCGAGTCAAGTCAGTACCATCATCTGCTGGACATACCCTTCGAACAGCCAGCAACTCGCCAGATTGATATGCTGATTGGCCTGGATCATGCCGAGCTTCACTACTCTCTGGAGGAGGTGAGGGGTGACCAGGGAGAACCGGTGGCGAGGAGAACCGCGCTAGGTTGGACCTGTGTTGGACCTGTGAGTGGAAGCTCAGATCATCACCGCACTCACTTCAGCAGAGTCGATGACGGTAATCTGGAGATGCTGATCCGGCGTATGTGGGAGGTGGAAGAGCCTCGCCGACAGAGCCCGCTTGCAGCAAATGACCGACAAACTCTTGCAGATGCAGAGGCAGCAACAAAGTACTGCAACGGCAGGTACACCGTCAAGCTGCCTTGGAAGAGAAGCCCGCCAGAGGAGAACGGTAGCTACGAGATGGCACTGAAGAGACTGCGCTCGACAGAGAAACGCCTCCACAAGGAACCAGAAGTAGCAAAGGAGTACTGCCGTGTACTGCAGCATCATGTGAACGCTGGATACGTGACTGCAGTAAAGCTCGAGTCAACAGGTGGTTGGTACCTCCCGCACTTTCCAGTCACCAGACCAGATGCAACAACAACTAAAGTGAGGGTGGTCTTTGACGCATCAGCCAAATGCAAAGGAGCAAGCCTGAACGACTACCTCCACCCAGGACCGAAGCTGCAGAGAGAGCTACCGCACATATTGCTGCGATTCAGGGCAAAGCCAGTTGCTATCGTGGCCGATGTAGCAGAGATGTACCTCCAGATCGAGCTGTCTGAAGATGATCAGAAATTTCATCGTTTTCTGTGGCGGGACTTGGATGCGTCAAAGGAGCCAGTCGCCTACCAGTACCAACGGGTGGTGTTTGGCATGAATTCGTCCCCATTCCTAGCACAAATGGTGTCTCAGAAGCGTGCTGAGCAGCTAAAAGAAAATGTCCCACGTGCTGCGGAGGCGGTGTTGAAGTCGACTTTTATGGATGACACTATGGATTGAATTGCCCTAACAGTACAACAGTCGTCCAGTTTTGCAGCCATTTATGTTTCTGTACAGCTAGCTTTTAGCTCGTTACGTTTCGTTTTCTTTTCTGATAGTTCATTTTAGTTGTATCAACGTTGATACTTACTTGTAGTTGTATCAAGGAGGGTGGAATGAGTAGACGGTGAACCTCTTTCAGTAGCCTATGTATGGTGTTATGGCAAATCACTGCCGCTCGCCTCTGGGTGTCAATACGGTCATGGTAATTCCAGTGCATGCTCGAATCAACGTGCCCTTCTTTGGTGTCAGTTATGCTGTGTGCACGCGTAGAGGTGATACATTTATTGTTCCTGTGTGGACCAGTCTAATCATAGTTATTATTCCTGGCTGTTCTTTCGTGCTATTCATGCTATTCATGATGCATGTAGTAGTAGTAGGGCATCGTGTTGTGTTGTTATGCATGTCTCATGTGCCGTTTCCCGCGCGCGCGCGAAACGGACTTCGCGGCTTGTAGTTTCTGTGCATAATTAGTTGAGTCGGCGTCTTGTTGTTTGGACTGGAGACTACACCGAGTTGTCTTCTTTTCGTTGTTTCAGTCAGTTACAGCTTGCAGTTATTCCTCTCGTGTAGTTCAGTTGCTTTACTAGGGTCTCATCCTGAAGTAAAGATTATTCGTTATTATCTCTGTGAGTCAGATCCCTCTCTCGTCTACACACTTACAGCCCGAATGGAAGCCACCACTTGCGCCGCCATATCCTTTCCTGAAAATTTAGGCTGTTGCCCGAAGCCAAACATTTTCAGTTCAGGCTCTGAGCTTTCAAGCTTGTCTGATACGTCGGAATCGCGCGTGGTGTGGACATCTGTGTCAGAATTGTTCCTCTCTAATACCACAATACCTGTTTCTCTGAGCTTGGCTCAAGCAGCCTTGTCTCAGAGGCGTAGAAGCGCGTTTTGGGGAGTGTTGGGTGGGGGGGGGGGGAGGAGGGCGTGTCGCGGCCTCATGACGTCATGGCGCATCCTACGAAAGTACAATTACAACCGAAGATATCTTAGGAACGCTTAGTCGGATGGGACCTTCTCTATGAAGTTTTGGGGGAAGTTCCACTTACTTCCTCCGCGTCATCGAAATTGTCGCAGTTTGACTTTTGATATAAAACGGGGTATTTACTCACCAGCACTCGTACCAGAGGCAGGGAATGGGATATAGGCGATAGTGATCAGTATAGGATGACGGTAAAGTTCTATTTTCTGTTATTGGAAGCTGGAATTTTTGAACTAGACGCAATTTCTTCGCTGATGTCGCTGCGATGGTAATTTCGACTCGCGGAGATCAGTCAGGCGTTGCAGCCTGCACATTTCTCGTGCTTATGGCCATTCACTCAAGCCTCATCACTGTTTTACCTTAGCTGGGATGAGAATGACTTCGTGGAACAAGTGACAGCGCTTGGAGAAACATCGAGGGGTCATCAAACTAAATGCCTGCAACAGCGATAAAATTTGTTGCTCTGGCTGAGACACTCAGTACATGATTGTACCTGCAAGAGCCGTGTAGACTCTACACGTAGTGCTAGTGATGCACGCGCAGGTGCCGTACCATGGTATACCTGTGATGCTAAAAAACAGGGCGCGCTGGACGCGATAGAACACTTACCTGAGCTGCAAGAGCTGTGACCAAACAGCTAAAATAAATGGGCATGTCACGGCTAAAAAAAGTTCATTTCAAGATCGAGGTGATTCCGCCGACGGTAATCGACTGACCTCGCAACGATCGTGTATTCTTACTACTACTAGGCTTCGTTGGTGGTGAAGTAGAAATCATCCAGAGCTAGCAGACGACAAGTATAGCAGCTCTTGTCCTGTGGAGAAAGTCAAAGCGTTTGAGATGAGGCGCGACCAACTTTCAACCTTCCTTGAAATATTTCGGAACGATATTTTTGCGTCCATTGACATCAGCGACGACGAGGACTTCGTCTCTGCATGAAAACTCTCTTTCCAACTGTCCTGGAAAGTTACTCTAGTCTTCAGACTATCATACTGTGTAATAAGTTTTGAATGGCTTAGCTTATGGAGTAGTCAGTAACAAGTGACAAATCACTAGTCAAACTGCGACAATTTCGATGACGCGGAGGAAGTACCATAAAAAATATCATCAAGATCAGTTACAGCTGTCTCCCCAATGTCGCCGCCATTTTCAAAGGCCACAACAGAAGCAAGCTGAACCGAACCCCAGCAGACGAGCCCTGCAACTGCAGGAAAAAAGCAAGCTTCGTTGATGAGCTTAAGAAGCTGACTGAAATTGTAGACCATCACCACGCATGGGAAGTCCTTGTCTAGGGAGGAATGGAAGAGCAGACAGAATCTTCAAGAAGGACTCCCGGGCAGCCCTTTTGTCCTTCTCAAGTTTAGACAACAAGTGTTCACCCACGTCTTTCATGGTGGCAGGTACTGTTCTACTGCTCCGCGGTGGCACTCGAATGACTCGTGCCTCTTGAAACTTGTTGTAGCATCCTTCCAGTTCTGGAACCACTTCCTGTCAAGGTAGATGGGAGCTTCCAATTGGCTGACCTGTAAGCCGTTACGTCACTATGAATTCATTCTAACGAAAGGTGAATTCACAAATGGACTTTGCTTTCCTAATGGTTAGCACACGCATTCATGATTGCTCTCGCTTTCATTGTTAAATTCACACTTGTAAACTTCACTGCTGGTGTTCTTGGTGTAATTTCTCTAACTTTTAAGAGAGCATGTCTGAGAAAACCAAAGTATGTGTGCAAGTGGATCTCTCCGATTTCGCTCAAAATTTGCAGGTAGGTTCCCTTTGGTGTGTGGATCGATTGTGCAAAGCCCTTGAAAAAGTTTCTGAAAGGAACCTTGAAATTTGCATACCCCTCAAAAATGGCCGAAATATCACATATATTATGGGTCTAGAAACGAGTCACGCCATAGCGTAGCCGAACAAGCTGTGAACAAAACTCCATCAAGCCAACATTGCCTCACCTTAGAAGAGTTCCTGGAGCAGTACCGCTTAGCCACGCCAGGATCCCAGAAGACGAGGTCCATCACCCCCTGCCACTGGCATTGGCGGATAATGCTGGAAAAGGTGACAGATTCTGCTCGAAAAGCAGTGAAATTGGCAGACCCATACAAACCTTATGGCGGGCAATTCCTCGAATTCTGCCCCATTTCTTTATCCACATACCAAACACAAATGAAACTTACCAGAAATGGTACCGATTTCTGCCTATTTTTCTACAGGCATTATCCGCATATGCCTAGATGCCACATAACGAAATCCCATTCGCCACTTCCTAAAAGAACAGAACTAACGTTATTCCCAAAAAACCGCCTTTTTACGATACATGCACAACATGACTTACAGGGATTCTAATTCGGTTGTCGCTTTGAACAGCCCGGCATGTAGGTGATCAAATTTATTACCCCGGAAATACCTGGGAGAACAAAGTAGATTTTTGATAGGATGTACATCACTTCCTGGAAAAAATACTCTTTATACTGTGCTATATACATTGGCCACATCTCAAAAAATCTCTTTTCCGATACATGCACGCCATGACTTGGATAATAATTATTTTCATTGTACGTGAAGTGTGTGGGTAACAGTGAGGTCTGCGTCCCAACCACCGGTGTAGATTCACACAAAGTGTAAGGCACGAAGTCTAAAGAAAATATGGAACGGTCTCTGCCGGGATGACGACTACACCATAGCTCATTGGTTAAAGCATCGCTGGCTAAAAGCAAGGATCCCTGGTTCGAGTCCGGGTGGTGACAGTCAATTTTTCACTGTCCCCGGTTGTGTATTTCCCTCAAATTAGTGAATTTTGTATAGCAGTAAAACAATAAATGTAAAAAAGAGAATTAAACGCATGAGAACGAGTTATGCAGCAACTTTCCACGATTGTAAATGGATGGTCAAAGGTCAGAAAGTGCGACAACAGGGCACAATACTGACAGGCTACTGAGAAATTCAGCGAAAAGAGACGTAGTTTCAACACATCTCCAGTGCGCAAACCGACAGCCTTCCAACTTAGAAGGTTCATGGGCACGTAGGACCGAAGAGGGAAGGTAAGCGCAGCGAAAATGTGCACAAGTTAAGTCCAGCGGCAACAAAGAATGCCGACTGTTACAGGACGATGATGAGACCAGTTATTAGGTCATGATAATGCGGTCTGACTACAATTCGAAGCAGCAAAGCAACACACCACCCAAATTGGGTGGGTCAGCAATATCAGCAATATATCAGCAATATCGTTAGATATTGGCGTCCGGTTTTGTACAATTCGTTTTCGCCCTTCCTTTATCTCTGATATTGCTGACACACCCAAGTTGGGTGTGGTCATCTAGTCTCGTCATCGTCCTGTAACAGTCGGCATACTTTCTTGCCGCGGGACTTAGCTTGTGCACATTTTCGCTGCGCTCACCTTCCCCTCTTCGGTCCTATGTAACCATGAACCTTCCAAGTTTGAAGGCTGTTGGTTTGCGCACTGGAGATGTGTTAGAGCTAGGTCTCGGGTCGCTGAATGTCTCAGTAGCCTGTTAATTTTGTGCCCTATTATCGCATTTTCTGACCGTTTATAATTTTGTTCCAGTCATGGAAAGTTGCTGCATGACTCGTTCTCATGTGTTTCTTCTCTTTTTTACATTTATTACTGGCTCAGTATCCGAGTGTAAACCAATAAGTTATGATTTTAGATTATTTTTACTTCGAGTACTTGGATAATTAATAAATAAATTTCACGGTTCGCGTGAGACTCGGCTGGAAGCCGAGTTTTCCGCATCCGCCGTGGGAACGCCACCACCCTCTAGGATAGTGAGTCAATTTATTATTTATGGTAAAACAGGAGAGGACAACATGTTACGAGTTATGATAAAGAGTCCACCAACGAAACCAGATCACATGAAGGCAGTCAAAGCGACACAATGGCACAAAACTCACAAGGAGTACTGAGACATTCAGCAACCTAAAACTAGCTCGAACACTTCTCCAAGGCACAAGCCAACACACTTCCAACTTGAAAGGCTCAGGTTCCGACATGTACCAAGAGGGTAGGAAAGCATATTTTCGTTGGATAGAATTACCCCACCATTCTTCAATTCAGTCATACTAACTTGTACACCCTTTGGAAACACCTCAACTTAAAAGCCCATCTATGTGTTTACCGCTGCCTGCATGGACTTGCTAGTCTTCTTCTGGGAGATTGCTTTACTTCTGCTCTTGTTCTGCCCCCGCCCCCGACACCTGATATTGCTTCAGTGCGATCTCTTATTTACGCGTTGACAGATGTTAATTAAAGGTTGCGAGAGGGCCACAATCTCAAGGTTTGGAGACTCCACTGTAGCCAATACTTGAATCCATACATCCTGTACACACACATTGTACACACTCTCTCTAACGGTCTCTAGGCTACACTGCAATTGATATACATTAGATCAAATTTTCGGGCAAGGCCCATCATCAGGAATAAGTCTTTTTCCTGATGATGGGCCTTGCCCGAAAATTTGATCTAATGTATATCAATTGCAGTGTAGCCTAGAGACCGATAGAGAGAGAGCGTGTACAAGGTGTGTGTACAGGATGTATGGAGAGGGCCACAAGTTATGAGAAATCGGAGGCTTTCCCACGTTTCTCTTCCAACAAATGCAGTGTACAATGCCTCGATGTTACTACGATAGACTTACTGGACACAGCGTTCACTTGCGCACCTTCACTAAAGGCAGTTCAATTTCGCCCCAATGCAGTCCACCAGCTTCTACCTCGTCTTGATGACTCAAAGGCGACTGGACCCGACGGCATTTCCGCTCCTGTCTTGAAGGAATGCGCCCGGGAACTTGTAAAGACACTATCTCAGCTCTTTGCTTCCAACAAGAATCCAGCCACGGAATTCCACTTGGAAAAGTCTTCCACGAACGGGGTCAGATTCGAGTCGTAAAGGGTTGAGGAGGGTACATCAGATCAATCAACGAGATGCCAAATCCCGAAATCCCTTTGGCCACATCTCAAAAGAGAGAACTCCGGAAAAAAATGTTTTTTTTTCCAAAACATGCACACCACGACTTACATGACCTTTATTCTGGTTGTGGCGTCGAACAGCCCGGCAGGTAGGTAATCCAATTGAACACGGCTCAAATATCTGGGAGAACAAAGTAGAACTTGGATAAGATTTTTATTATTATTATTATATTATATTTGAGGGATGACCCAGAGGCAGGTAGCCATTTGAGAGGTTCTCCACTGGTGCAATATTGTATAGGTAGCATAACCGGGGGGGGGGGGGGGGGGGGAGAATAAATTAGCCAGGCACATGGAATGAGACAATAAAACTTCAAAGGAAAGTGTGATGTGCAATTACTGTGAGGTGTAGGAATGCCAGTGGTTTTATGGGCATGCTCATGACGTAATTTCTTCTTAAATTCCTGCAGGGAGTCTGTAGGGGTTATCTTTGGTGGTAGACAGTTCTAAAGTACAGAAGTTCTAAAAAGGAACATAGACTTTGATAACGATTCGTATTTAGGTGAAATGATTTGAGCCAGCGCAAGTGAAAAGGGACGTTATCCCGCTGCACGTGATTTTGAGAAAATTGCACTTCAAGTGAATCATCTGATTTCAGGCTGTCACGTTCCGATCGAACTTGAAACTGTGCGTTTTTCTGTGGTTATGTGTGTGATACGTGATTTCTTTAGAGCAAATTCACTATGTCGATAGGAGAGTCAACATCCTCCAGCTCCTGTAGAAGAAAACCCTGTCTTAATCGACCCACATACCACGCATTGGCGATCAAAAATCGATCTATCGAGAGCGCAACCTCCGCTGCATGCGCAGCATGCGCGAGTGTGAAAGGTAAATGAACTTGCTTTCAGCGCAGCTGCCTTCCTCCCTTCGCTTTCCCCTGAGTCATTGGGTTGGCGTAGCTACTCACCGTGAGCTACCATAAACGTTTCACCGTCAACGAAGCGCTGAAATCTCTCCTAGCCTGAGAGAAGATGAGGCTGAATTTTTTGGTCAGAGAAATATTATCAATACCTAAGAACACCAAATTAGTGTATATGACTGCTCCTTGCCAGACTTCGACTTCATATTGCATCCTGATGATGGCAATTTGCTGAAACGTTGAAAATGATTCTGTGAAATGAAATGAGTTGTGAATTTGAAGTGCCCAGGGAATGAGCATGAGTGCTCGCCAGTTCTCTTCAAGTTATGAAGATGCAGGATGCCTCACCGCTACTTCGATATATTTTTAGGTGCTTGAAGTCGCTCATATGTTGCTCAGACGAGTACGATCTGATTCTTCGTCAAGGTGAGACATGTCGCAGTCGATCCACGTCGGTCCCTTGGAGAACCGGCCACATTTGAGTATACTCAGAGAATGCGCCGATCGAGAAATTATTAGGAATTTGAAACGAACTTGTTACTTTGTTGAGCATACAAGAAAACTGAAAACTTTAGCAATTTTTGAAAATACCGATTTTGCGCCTGAAAATGGTAGGAATCCAGGCGGTTTTGGGTAGTCCTCAAAGGTTTAATACTCTTAAGCGTGCTACTTTCCTGGACATGAAAATCTGGTCGGTGTTCAAGCGACCCATGGGCGCTGGCCATGCAGCCGTGAGTACGTACACCGTGCACACATTCATTTCTGCGCTGCAGCGCAGAGCCGCTGGTCCATTTTTGGATTGTGAACGTGAACTACAGATTTGGTGTGAATTTTGGCACGTGTCAATGCATAGTGCTGGAAGTGACTATACCCGTACCCGGTACCAGTGAACTTTCCACCATTGCAAGAAAACACACAGTACACCCAGCAGAAGAAGAAGAGAGAGGAAAATAAACAGTTGTGTTATGATTGTTTTATTTGCAGTAGCTGGGAAGCTAGGCTAGTATCTGGTGTGACCACCATTATTTGTGATGACTTCCTGCAGACGGTTTGGCATGGATGTTGCGAAACTCGCCACATCGGCAGGCTGCAGCGCTCCCCAATCCAGATCCACGGCCTTTCGCAGCTCATCCGCAGTTTGGCAGTTGTGTGCTACCAGTCGTCGTTTCAGCAAGCTCCAAATGTTCTCGATCGGGTTTAGGGCTGGTGAACGAGCAGGTTGAAACACAATGATCGGCATGCCGTTGTCGGGGATGTGCTGCTGCGCGTTAGGTGACACAGACACAGTGGCGAGGACCTGCACCCTCGCTGGATGCTGTGACTGCTCAGCAACAGGCACAGAATCGCGAGGAAACTAGAACATGATCCGACCGTCGGGGCCGGCAGCAAAACATGCTTCGTCGGCGGATACTGTCCTGTCGAAGGTGTGGCCTTGGTGGACGACAGCCAACGCAAGACGGTGGGCTGGTGTGCCTCTTAGAGGACGACTTTCCTATGCGGACGCCCAAAGCGATGGGCTTCTGATAGGCGCCGTCTTAACTGCCTAGCACCTACTGATTCGCCTGCTGGACCAACATTAGCCAAATCGGTTGCTGCTTTCTCCCTGCTGGAATAGCGGTTGTTTTCAACAAACTGCTGGATGTGCTGAAGTTCGTCAGGGCCTAGTGTGGGCTGAGCGCCACTCCCCGCTTTCGTCTTCACTGTAACACCAGCCCCGACCTACTCGATAGTATTGTTTACCTGAACAATGCAACATAGAGAAATGCATATTTGAGTAAATGTCGCTCTCATTCTGCTCGGATATCCATGGCTTTGATATTTTGCATGCCTACAGGGGTTTTCTTATTGCCGGTCAAGTCGTAACGTGCCTGCTGCTCAGCCCAGATCGGTAGAGCCACATGGCGACTCATCACCTCCACCAAACCCACTGCGAAGAAGAGAGTCCTGTTTGTTGGAAACTTGATGCATGCAATTACTGCAGACTAGCTGAAGGAGTTCATCGCAGCAAGAGCAGGTGAGGCTGACCACAACATCCAAGTGTTTGACATAAAATTAATATATTTTTTCAATCCTCCACTGTGCGTATTGTTGCCAGTGCAACGGACGAATTGTTTCTCATCAACAAGCTCTTCTGGTCCAGGGCTGTGTACACAAGAGAGTAAAACTTCGATAAGTACACCCAGTCTGATGCCCGTGGAGATCAACAACCAGCGCAGAGGGGAAGCTTTGCGAAAACGAATTGTACAAGGCGAACGCCAAACTCCTACTGTACTCCTAATGCATGACATTGTGATAGACTAGTTGACTACAAAACAAGTTACTTCACACGACGTACGTTTCGCCGTATGGTTCATGACAGCTCATCAGGTGTGCAATTAGAAACTCGGATATTGCGCCAATAATAAATGTAGAAAGGACGAAGGACATATGGAAGCGAGTTAAGAGTAACTCTGCACCACTGTAAATATACACTAATTCGTTTTCGCAAAGCATCCCCCTTCTGTATTAATCTTTGATATTGCTCAGCCACCCAAGCTGAGTGGTGTGCTGCTTTGCTGCTTCGAATTGTAGTGAGACCGCTTTGTCAAATATCCTACTGGTCTCGTCATCGTCCAGTAACAAACAACACTCTTTGTTCCATTGGGACTGTAGCTTGTGTTCATTTTCGTCGCACTTATCTTCCCCTCTTTGTCCTCTCCTTAACCTTGAACCTTCCGAGTTGGAACGCTACGGAGATGTGTTGAAGCTAGATGACAGGACGTCGAATGTCTCAGTACTCTGTCCGTTTTGTGCCTAGTTGTTGCACTTATAAATACAGCCTCTGTGCTACGCGTACGAGTCCACAATGGAGGCAACAGTTCCGCACGCAGATTGAGTAAATTCCAGGTTATAATTACGGGGGAGGTTGGAATCCGCGAGCGGCAAAAAATAATAATATTTCATAATATTTCTACCCCAAACCTGCGCAGAAAGATGCTCAAAGGACTAGTTTTAAATTTAGGAATGTCCTACCTTAAAGGTTGCGAGAGGGCCACAAGTTATGAGAACTCGGAGGCTCTCACGTTTCTCTTCCAACAAATGCAGTGTACAAGGCCTCGAACTTACTACGATGGACTTACTGAACACAACATTCACTGGCTTACATGCACTAACGACAGTTCATTTTGTCCCAGTGCAGTCCACCTGCTTCTATAGTCCATTCATCGTAAACTGGCCCGCTGGCTTTTGAAAGTCGGATTTGGGCAGAATTGAGGATCAAAAACCCACTTTAAATCTCAAAAATCTGGGTTTTGGATCTGCTTCTCCATACATTTTGCCATTGCGTACCTGTCCTAATATTGTAAAACCTGGCTGAATTTCTATTTCCCTGTTCTTGGACTTTTCTGGCCTCAAATGTGGCAAGGATTAATTGCACGGGTCACACAATGCAGGATGTACTGTTGTTTTCACGATATGTACAACTATGTGAGAGAGACACCAAAAAGTTAGGATGCCAGTTTCCAATGAATGGACTGTAGCTGGTCTTGAATTCCTCAAAGGCGACTGGACCCGACGGTGTATCCGATCCTGTCTTGAAGGAATGCGCCAGGGAACTTGTAAAGACGCTATCTCAGCTCTTTGCTTCCAACACGGAGTTCCACCTGGAAAAGACTTCCACGACCAGCGTCAGGTTCAGGTCATAAAGGGTGGTGGGCGGTACATGAGATCAATCCCGAAATCCCATTTGCCACATCTCAAAAGAAGAGAACTACGCCAAAAATGCCGTTTTACGATACATGCACAACATGACTTACAGGTTTTCTAATTTGGTTGTTGCATTAAACAGCCCGACTGGTAGGTGAACAAATGCATTATCGTCCAAATCTCTGGGAGAACAAAGTAGAATTTTGATAGGATGTATACTCACTTTCTGGAAGAATTACTTATTACTCTATTTTGCGTGCTAGTTTGTAGGTGGAGTGTGTGGGTTACAGTGAGGGCTGCGTGCCACCCGCCTGTGTAGATTCATACAAAGTGTAAGTTACAAAGTGTGAAGAAAATGTAGAACTGTTTCTGATTGGATGACGACTACACCATAGCTCAGTGGTTACAGCATCACTGGTTACAAGCGAGGGTCCCTGGATCGAGTCCTTGAGGTGTCAGTCGATTTTTTCTTCAGACTGTTCTCCTTTGTGTCTTACCCTCGAATTAGTGAACTCTTTATAAGCAGCTAAATAAGCAGGGTGGCCAAGGACGTTTTGGGATACGTGAACCGTAGCAGACACCAGAAACCAGATCTTGCGATACAAGAGCTATCACTCAAGCAAAAGAATATTCGTCTGAGTATCAACAACTCCACCAACCCAGCAGTCAAGGCCAATCTGAAAAGACAGCGAAATGACCTTCAACACACCATCAGAGACAAGTGTCGAGCCAATGCTGAGACGCTTCTGGAGGCCAAAGCAGCAGAGAGTGTGAGAGGCTGAAGGACGGGGCATGCATGTTTAAGGCTGTGCACCTCATGAGACGACGGAAAGCCCAGTGACCGGCTGTGGCGGACGAGACTGGACGGTTTTCTGGCAGCGACGGTCAAGCGGCAGCTGTCGTCAGAAGTCACTTTATGAAGCCGTTTCTTTCAGTTGAATTCGGGTAAAAGTCAGTTAGGCTGAGAATTGCTCTCAAGGAAAAATTCGCAACACACCGTCGCCAGTATAAAACAATAGAAAACTGTTAGAAACTGGAAAGCAGCCGACTCGTGTAGACGGATTGTGAACGCGAGCTAAAAACCTTGGACCATGTTAAGCATGAACGTCTAGTTACAGTTTTGTTTTCCCTTGGTATAGCTGGAACTGCCTGGAATGGTTCGCTGACTACATCTTAGGGTGTTTCCAGAGTGTCAAAGTTCTGGACACTGTTAGTGAATCCGTCAGTTGCTCCCATGGTGTTCCCCAAGGTAGCATCCTTGGGCCACTGCTTTTTGTGCTCTACACTAGTGAACTCCACACCATACTGCCACCGTCTGTATGTTGCGGATTTCTGTTCAACTAAGATTAACGCATGTTGTTGTATTTGGTTCTTGTCTGGTAGAGTTCAGTGTCTGATGTCATATATGGTCTAAGTGTACGCGCGAATATGGTATGGTGTTTTTCCGTTGTCTTTTTCTCGAGTCTTGTTTTCGTTTTATCCTCCTGTGCCCTCGATGTTTATTATTGAGAAGTGAATACTACTATTGAAGCTAACTGAACGGAGTGTTGCTGTGTGGTGGGGGCCAGGAAGAGAACAATTTACTATTTCATGTACAGCACCAAGAACTTGCAGATGACATTGTCATGGGCTGCTCCAATTCTGACCCTGCCATGACAAACCTTGCTACCTGGCTGTAGGACAATGGCCTGCTCCTCAACACTCCCAAGACACAGTTGCTCTTCATTCGGCCACGAGGCGCAGCTGCAATACAACCGGAGGTCATCTGCAATGGCGAGAAATTCTGTGTTACCCCTACAGCCAAGAACCTTGGTTTAGTCTTGGACAATGATTTATCCTGGGCTCCACATGTGGAGTATATTGGTCGCAAGACAGCGCGAACAATTGGTCAGCTCTGGAGGCATGGACGAGGATTGAGTTAGCTTCCCCGGCGAACATGGTTTCTGAGCATGATCCTTTCCCAGCTGTGTTATGGTTCAAATCGTTTTTTTTCCAGGACTTAGCGCACACCTGCTTGATCAAGTCTCCAAACTCTCCAAGACGGGTCTACGGTCAACCCTCCAACAGCGTAATCTCATGCCCACAGCTCCTATTCTATCCCTGCTGGTGTCCCCAGCCTACTGCAACTGCTAAATCAAACGTTTCTCGTCCTAGTTCATCGGTGCCTCCACCACAAAGCTAGCCCCCTGCTTTAGGAGATGTTCACAGGCACTGCTCCAGTTCGCGTCCCAGCAACATCCGGGCAACTTGAGGGCAGCAGTCCAATCTGCTATGTGTGCCTTTTCTCCGCGGTCCCTTGGGGCTACGTTCCATCCGGTTCGTGGCAAGTGTCTAGTGGAATGCTCTTCCCGTCAGCGTCAGAACTGAGGGTGGAAAACGAACCTTCCAGGCTCTCACACGTGCACTACATCTGGAGATGATTTGCAGCGGAGCAGTAACTCGGTCAGTAACTCTCACACGTGCACTACATCTAGAGGTTATTTGCAGCGGAGCAGTAACTCGGTCAGCAACTCTCACATACTGATCGATCTCTGTCTCGATATCTCTCTCCCCCCCCCCCAACTCACTCTCCCTCCTCTCTACCTCCTCTCTCCCTCCTCTCTCCCTCCTCTCTCCCCCCCTCCCTCTCTCTTTCTCATACTCTCTCTCTCTCATACTCTCTCTCTCATACTCTCTCTCTCTCTCTCTCTCTCTCTCTCTCCCCTCTCCCAGCCCCTCTCTCTCACTCTCTCACTCTCTCTCTCTCAATCTCTCTCTTTCTCCTTCTCTCTCTCTCTCTCTCTCTCTCTCTCTCTCTCTCTCTCTCTCTCTCTCTCTCTCTCTCTTTTTTTTCTCTCATTCTCTCTCTCATTCTCTCTCTCATTCTCTCTCTCTCTCTCATTCTCTCTCTCTCTCTCTCTCTCTCTCTCTCTCTCGTTTTCTCCCTTTCCTCTTTTGTTCTCTCTGTCATACAGTATCTACGACCTAAGTTTGATTTTTCACTTCTTCCCCACTCATCTACTACCATGTTCATAATCAATAAGAGAGCATGTCTCTCTTCCAAGAAATGCAGTGTACAATGGACCTACTGGACACAGCGTTCACTTGCCCACCTGCACTGATGACAGTTCACTTTCGTCCCAATGCAGACCACCCGCTTCTACCTCGTCTTGATGCCTCAAAGGCAGCTGGAAAGAACTACGCAAAAAACCTCTTTTCCGATACATGCCCACCATGACTTACAGGGTTTGTAATTCAGTTGTGGCTTTGAACAGCCCGTCAGGCAGGTCAACCAGTTGATTATACCTCAAATTTCTGGGAGAACAAAGAAGAATTAGGATAAGATGTACATTGTACGTCAAGTGTGTGGGTTACAGTGAGATCTGCGTCTCACCCACCGGTGTAGATGAGAGAGAGAGAGAATGATAGAGAGAGAGAGAATGAGAGGGAGAGAGAGAGAGAGAGAAACATAGGGAGATGAACAAATTAAGGAGATACATCCGGTTGATTTGACTTTGCACTGTCGGGCTAATATGTCTGGCAGGCGGAAAGTAAGAAATCAGCCAATTGCATCTCTCAGTAGTCTGACAGAGACATTTGCTAACATAGTGCACGATCCAAGCCGGCCTGCTGACATATGTTTACGCCCAGCCACCCAACAGCCAACTACTGCTGCTCGACTGTCCCATTTTCGACCCGTAACTGTGGCGCACATCACCACACTGCTCAAAGCAACAAACAAAAGTAAGTCACCTGGCTCTGACAACGTCTTACCAGCCGTACTGAAGCATGGTCGTGATTCCATAGCAGTTTCTCTCACTGATATTATCAATAAATCTCTGAGCACAGGGTGCGTACCAGATATTTTCAAGAATGCCACAGTCAGCCCAGTTTTCAAATCAGGCGATGCAGAAAGCTCTACTAATTACAGACCAGTCTCATTATTGCCCATATGCAGCAAGATATTAGAACGAGTTGTCTTGGAGCAGCTGATTGCATTCTTTAAGTTACACAACATCATGTACGTGCCTGACAATCAATTTGCCTACCGTACCAACAGCTCGTGTGAGGACTGCCTAGCGCTAGTGGTCGACGAATGGCTCCAAGCCCTTGATAACAACGAGTACTGCGGCATAGTGTTTGCAGATATGAGCAAAGCTTTTGACCGAGTTAAGCATCAAGAGCTCATTGACGAGTTGAAGATGCTTGGCATTGCTGACACTGCACTTGCTTGGTTTGCAAGCTACCTGACCAGACGCGTCCAGCGAGTAAGAGTAGGACAACAGCTAAGTGGGGCCCGCCCTTGCACAAGAGGCGTCCCACAAGGCTCCGTGCTCGGCCCATTGCTATTTTGCATTTACACCCGTGACGCACCACAGTGCTTCCAACATGCATTAAATCAACTTTATGCCGATGATATCACACTCTATATCAGGCACAAGTCCATCCAGATCATCACAACCCAGCTGAGTGCTGACCTTGCCGCTCTGGACCGCTACCTAGATCAGAAGGGATTGGTGTTAAACCCGTCCAAGACTCAGTTTGTCCTGCTCAGGCGACCGAGCACGGAGCTGCCACCTGGCACCGCAGTCAACTGCCGGGGCACTTCCATAGTCCCATCTGCTTACGCTCGGTACTTAGGAATACTGGTTGACAAACATCTGTCTTTCTCAACCCAAGTGGATGCAGTATGTGCAAATGTCAATAGGAAGGTTGGAGCATTTGTCCACGCAAAGCAGAATATCAGCATTTTTGGCAAACGACTTTTCTATTTATCGATCATTCAGTCCACATTTGAGTTTGGCAGCACTGCATATATTCATTGCTTATCACAAGCCCTATATGACAAGCTTCTTACTGCCAGCCGCGTAGCATTAAAGAGAATATTTTCGTTGGATAGAATGACTCCCACCACTCTTCTATACAGTCATACTAACTTGTATGCCCTTGAGAAACGCCTCAACTTCAAAACCTATGTATTTGTTTACCGCTGCCTGAATGGACTTGCTAGTCCTCTTCTGCGAGACCGCTTTACCTTGCGCGCCCATGGTGCTCGCACTGCAGCCACCACCCGTGGCCAAGTCTCTGCTGCTCTTGTTCTGCCCCCCGCTAACACCCGATATGGCTTTAGTGCAATTTATTATTTGGGCGCTGCCAGGTGGAATACACTTCCACCGGCTCATCCATCAAATTATACCTAGGGTTCCCTGTAAAAAGGCGCTGACGCCTGTTGGGAATTCCCTAGTAAAAGAAGAATAAATAATAATAATAATAATAATAATAATAGGATTACAAGTACCTGTGTACCGGTTTTGTGGCACAATGATTATAGCCATTATAGCCATTATATTTGGTCGTCTCCATTCTTGTGCAATCATGCATTATGTAGGTTGGTTCTCTTCATGTTATTGTGACCAATTTCATAGATGTTGGTTGCCTTGTTGCTTTCTCTCCCCTCTCCTCTCACCCAAGCCATTCTGCATAAGCGAAGCTGTGGACGCAGCATACTGCTGCTACACTTCAACGCGGGAATGCGCATAATAATAATAATAATAATTACAAGTACATTGATTTGTAACTAGTTGGATGAACATATTGCCACACGCAGAGCCTTCCAGCTCTTACGACAGGCAGCTGTTGCCCGGAGCGAATGGAGATCTCCCAGGTTCAGGAGTCTACCCTTCCCGGCTTTCTGCAGATCTTGATGCAGCACGCTGGGAAGAGTGACGCGTGGCCGGCCAAGCCATCTGGTGCTGTTGTTTGCGAATAAGATTTCCATTGGGTTGATGGTTGCCAAATAGGCGCCACCTGGCACGGCGTACAAAGATGCTGATCTCCTCTATTTGGCACCTCTGGTACAGTGCTTCATTGGAGATACGCTGTGGCCATTTGATGCCAAGGAGAGACCGCAACTGACGTCGGTGTAAGGCATCCAACTTCTGGAAAGCAGATTGCGTGAGGCCCCAAGTGCCACAGTTGTACGCGAGGACAGGTAGGACGAACGCCGACTACAGTCACAGGCGAAGACGCTCACTCACAGCAGATCTCCGTTTCCAGAGAGACATCGAAGTGAAGGCCGCTGAAGCAAGCTGCTTCCTTCAAGCTACGTCAACCTCGTCGCCAAGAAGAGATCCTAGTTTCTTTCGGACCATTCTCCACTCATCACCAATCCTTTCGTTGCTTCTGAGCACCTGAGTACGTTCCGTTTTACTTGGATTGACACTCACTGACCCTATCAATATCAACTGGAAATGTAATATCACCAAACATCCAAATACTATCATTTATCACTCCCTTAGTATTGACTCCCATAGATTTTTGCCATACCTAAGCAGTCAAATATTCCTGCATATTTCACTCCTTAGGGCTATATTGACTGCTTATATTTGACTGCTTAGGGGTTGCGCAGTTGAACGGTGCCTACAATGGCACGTATGCATAATTTTCGCGCGGATTTTTGCTGCGGGGCATCTTCTGCATCTGCTGCAGGCCAGTGCAATGCAGGTGCAGAGAGCTAGAGCTAGAGGTAGAGAGTAGTCAGTAATGCTGTTGCAGATTTTGTTTCTCGTCCCTTGCTGTTGTCTAGCTGTACTTGTAGTGTTGAGCAGCCTAGGCTAGATAATAGTTATGTCCTTCCCACTGGTGGAAGTTGTCTCAAGCAGTCTCGTCTTGTCGCCGTTCGCCGTTTTCTTCTAAAAAAAGTTTTTAAAAAAATAAAATGCCAGGGCATTGCCATTGCATTGTTCCTGGTTGCTCCAACAGGAAGAATACTTGTAAGTTCGGACTGTTTCCTTCCAACCCTGATGATGGAAAAGTAGTATACCAGAAGCAGAGGCTTTGTGGATCGACTGCGGATAGGATAGGTTGCGGCGGAAGTGATCCAGCTTGCAAAAACTTGTCGTTTCATCGCCTCCCTCCTGACACTGACAAACGAAGAGAATGTCGCCGTCAGTGGCTGGCAAAAATCCCAAGAACCAATGTACCTCTTTCAGCCAACTCCTATGTCTGTGCCGTCCATTTCGCTGGAGGACGTCGCTCCAGTGCTGACGAAGCTCCAACTGTATTCGTTTCCCGTGCTGTCGTGAAGGAAAGGCAAACTAGGACAGCTCTTGGATTAAGAGTTGGTGGACAAGCCGTTGATTATTCACTCTCATTGTAATATCAAAAAGTATTCTTTCTAGACCAAAGAGTGGTATATTTGATAACATTTAATAACTAATAGCTCTTGGATTGGTGGCGCCTGTCAGTCAGGAAGTTTTAGAGCCTGAGACTGAGGATTGTGAGAGTGATGTTCAAAGTGCTGATATGACAGTTGAGCACGACTATGGGAAAGTGCTGATGGACAAACGTGTGGAAGATCTGGAGAAAGAAGTTAAACGCCTTACCTGCAAACTAGACAACTGCACGTATGATCTGGCGCAGACGAAGACGCTACTGGAGAAATGCCAGTTGAGTTACGGCACAATGCGGCAGGATCCTGCTAAACTCTTGTTTTACACTGGTTTGACAGTGGCTGGCTACGATGCGTTACTCAACCTGATGATGGATAACATGGCTGGGATGAGCTATAAGTGGGATGTGGATGAGGATTTCCTTGGCAAAGATCAGCGCGGTCGGCCACGCACACTGTCCATGGAGAACGAGCTTCTCCTCACTGTTATCAAGCTGCGACACAATTTTCCAGAGTCCGACCTTGGCAATCGCTTTGGAATAACGCAGTCATCAGTATCTCGTATCTTTGCCGCAGTTCTGAAGTGCATGTACTTCACTTTCCAGGAGTTGGACATTTGGCCATGTAGGGAGCTGGTTGATCGGTTCATGCCCTCTGAGTTCCGGAAGAAGTTCCCCCGTACAAGGGTTGTTATCGACGCAACGGAATTTCCCATTGACAAGCCCGCTAACCCCAAGGTTCAGGCTACGACTTGGTCCAACTATAAGAACAAGAATACTCTCAAACTGCTCGTCGGCGTGACCCCAAATGGCTCCATTTCATTTCTATCATCTCTATGGGGTGGCCGTATTTCCGACAAGGAGATTACCAAGCGCAGTGGCATTCTTGATAAGCTGGAGAAAGGGGATGCCATAATGGCTGACCGGGGATTTGACATTGCGTCCCTACTTCCTGATGGTGTCGAGCTGAATATTCCCCCGTTCTTGGGAACACGGGATCAACTTGAACCTGAGGAAGTCGTTGCTACAAGACGGATTGCGACGTTGCGCATCCATGTCGAACGCGCCATCGAGCGCATCAAGAACTACACAATCACGCACTTCATTCCGTCGTCTCTCATGTCTCTGGCCGAGCCTATCATCACTGTGTGCGCTTTCCTCACACTTTTCATGGAGCCGCTAGTTCCGCCGCCGGTTCAAGAGCAGGACCAACTCACCAGCAGCGTAACTCCACCACCTGCGCCCAGTTGTGTTCCAACATCATCGTCTAGCACCGACGGAACAGCTCAGCCATCGGTGGATGACACTGACCGCCATGGATCTGCAGATGTCCAAGAAGTGATGCTCACGCAAACGGCTGTGTTGCCCTCCACAACAGTAGTTCAAGAAGGCAAGACGAGTGAAGAGAAACCACCGGAACCTGATGCCAGCATCTCACATAGTGTCAGTGCTAGTGCTACCAATGTCGAAAATGTGTGTTTCTCCTGTGGCGTGGGAGATCAGCGAGTCCTCAGGGTATATAAAGGTTGCCATCGCCGCTACCACCATATGTGTCAAAATGATGACGATGAGACTGGACATTTCTGTAACAGGCGCTTCGCCTCCAGTGGATAACTGACTGTTTTTCAGCATGTCAGATTTCATTTTCTTTGTGTGTATGTGTGTATGTATGTAAGTATGTGTGTGTGCCCGTGTGCACATGTGCATGCACTCTGTGTGTGGGTGTGCATTCGCTGTTGGTCATGCTCAACAGTTAAAAAAAAAAGTATGTAGTGTTAACTCATTATTGGTACGTGAAAACCCAGTGCAGCACCGTGTACCGTGTATCTATCATTCTTTTTTTTCTTCTTTTTTTCATCGTTCCTACAGTAAATTTTATTACCCATTCCGGACTGGGGTTACATGGCTGCTAATTATCTTAGTTTATTTCACCTGTTGAATATTCAGCCAATATTGGATATTGGTAAGTGACCCAGTTTTGGAGCAATGTGTGAAATGGGTACCCTTTTGCGTTGACGGTATTATTGATAGCTGTGTAGTATTTTGTACTGTAAAGAATGACTTGGAGCCAGACATACTTCACATTCGTTCTGTGTTGTGAAGGTAGTGAAATAGCCAGTACACATACCAACATTGAACTGAGCTTGGCATGTGGAAAATAGTGACTATATTCAAGCTTCCAAGTGATGGAGAACAAAGAAATGACCACCGTGATGCCAAGAAAAAAGACCAAAGTGATAAACTGTACACCATAGTGACGTGCATAACAGAATGTGTCTACCGGTATATCTGGACATAAGTATACCCTCACTACTAAGCGCATATGCATATATCGGGATATAAGCACACTCTTGCTTCTGGTAAGAGAATGTATTTGTACCCACACCACTTACAACCATTAACATTCCTACAGCATTGCGCTACATCCACACGTTGCCCAATAGCACACACTTACATGTACATGTACAGGCGCACACAAAGAAGAGAAAACGAACCTATTTCTTTGTGTGGACAGAAGGGTCCAATGACCTATGATAACAACTTGTGGACAGAAGGGTCTAACCACCTATAAATTATAAACATGGAAAAAAAAGAACTCAGGCAGTATAACTGCAACTGGGCCGAATCATTCAGTATGGCACTTGCTCACAGCATCATGACATGGCAGCTTTCGGCAATACATGCTGAAAATAGAAAGCTCTCAGTGTGGCAAGGTTGCAACGAATAAACTCATCATCCCTTGCGATACGATCAATCTTTGTCCCACCAGTGCGTGACCATACAATGAAATCACAAGAAGATAAACCAGTGACAAAGAGCTGCATTTGCACTTGGTAATAGTATGCATGCTTGCGCTTCAATGTGTAGTGTGAGCCATCATACTGCAAACAAAAGTTCTTAACTGACCTCACAGCTTCGTCAAACGACATGTTGCGTGCGGAATACGGACACTTGATCTCTAGAACCACTTGTGTCTTGCCATCATCTGCAATACCGTCTGGACTAGCTCCAAACCAAGGCTCCTCCGGATTGACGATCAGGCCACACTTCGACACGTGCACGACGTCGCCAGACTTCCCGCGTTCCTCTACATAGGCCTCCCTGGCCACATCCTCATTCGCGATTCCCCAATCCGTTGCAGCTGATGAGAAGAACGGCCGGTCCGTGATGGCACTAACAAGCCTCGCGGGATCAGTCGAACTTCTTCGGCGAGCAACAGTCTTTGCTATAGAAGCTGTGATCCGCAACTTGCGTTGCCTCATCCAGAGGTCACTTCCATGCTGATCCGATGTTCTGACATGAAGTTCGTGTGCCTGCTCAGGTGTTACAACTACATTGTCTTGGTACCAATGCCATTGCTTGTCGTTGTCATCTATCCACTCAGTGTCTGATGGAACAGGCGTGGTGTCATCAGTGGCGTCAGCATCCATCCACTCACAATCGGATGGAAGAGCTTGAAGGAAGTTCGTCACTTGTCCCTGTGTGGTGCGCTGATCTTCCGGAACAGTATCTGGGGCCGTTCGGGTGAATAATTGTTGAAGAAGGGGGCTACAGGAGGTGTTAATGCATCGATGAACAAATAATACAATTTTGTGTGTATATGTATGTGGTAGACTAACAATGCTGAGCAGAGAGAGCAGCGGGGCAGTTGGAGTCAAGAGCCAATGTTACAAAGTGGTACGGATGCAAGCCTTGAACATCTTTTCAAGCTGACCAAGCACGTGTGCACTAAGTCCTGGAAAGAAACTGTTTGAACCATAACACAGCTGGGAAAGGATCATGCTCAGGAGCCACATTCGCCGCAACAAGATGTTACGAGTTACGACAAACAGTCCACCAACGTGATCAGATTAAATAAAGTCAGCGAGTGCGACAAAATGGCACAAAAGTAACAAGGAGTACTGAGACATTCAGCAACCTGACACCTAGCTGGAACACTTCTCCAAGGCGCAAGCCAACAACCTTCCAACTTGAAATGCTCAGGTTTGGACAGGTCCAAGAGGGTAGGAAAGCATATTTTCGTTGGATAGAATGACCCCACCACTTTTGTCTACTGTCATACTAACTTGTACACTCTTGAGAAAAACCTCAAAATCAAAACCTATATACTTGTTTACCGCTGCCTGAATGGCCTTGCTGGTCCTCTTCTGCGAGATTGCTTTACCTCGTCTCTGGTGGTCGTGTTCTGCCCCCCCCCCCCCCCCCGCCTTGGCAACACCTGATATGGCTTCCGTGCGATGTTTTATTTACAGGTTGACAGATATTAAGTTGGCTCATACCCAATTAATTAAATAAAAAATTCACGATTCCCGTGAGACTTGGCTGGAAGCCAGGCTTTCCGCATCCGTAGGAACGCCACCACCCTTCAAGGATCCAGCCGCTTGCAGCCCCTAAAGCGTTGGGAGGTAAGTAGATCAGCTCACCAGCAAGTGATCAAAGACTGAAAATCCAATTCACTGCATCCATGATTTCCTCGTGCTAGGCCACGAGTTCCCATTACTGTGGGTTGCAGCACGGCTGGAAAAATCCTTCCGCTTCCAAGCAGGACTTGAACCTGGTACCCTATGTTTCTCATTCATGATCTTAGACCAGCACACTATGCCTGTATACCCAAATCGGAACATAAAACGACCTGATCAATTTTGTTCAAAATTGCACAGCTCTACTACCAGAATATTGTCAGTTCCGAAAAATGGGAAGGATTGAAACATACCTTCATAGTTAAAACCTGATTTGAAATTTCTGGTATGTTGGAGTATGTTACACAAACACACATCCCAGCATTTTGCCTCTACTGTATCTGAGTGGTGACTTCTGCAGTCAAGCCAAGCCGAATAGGGTGGCTGGGATTTCTTCTCAGGGTTCTTGGCTGCCCATACTAACAATCTCATTTGGCTCCGAAAGCAAATATCTGTACTTCGCCGGGTTTTTTCCGAAAGTGGCCAGATCAATTTTCTTCATTTCTTCAAGAAGTACAGCCAGCTATGTGGTTCATACATTAAACATTAGATATTCGATATTGAATCAATGTGAAGGACCTAGGAGCACGGTTTACTGAATCCAATATTGGCTGACGTGTGCGGTGGACAAAAAGCATTATAGTCAAACATAATGGCCGTATAGATTTCATTCAAATGTTGCAAAGGTATTTAAAAATAGTAATGGGAAGAGTTTACCGAGTTATGGCCCCTACAGCTACCAGAAGCATACTTTGTCAAGTACTACCAACACGGAGTTCCACCTGGAAAAGTCTTCCACGAGCGGCGTCAGACTCGGGTCATAAAGGGTGGTCAGGATAAATGAGATCAATCAACGAGATGCAAAATCCCCAAATCCCATTTGCCACATCTCAAAAGAACAGAACTAGGACAAAAATGCCTTTTTCGGTACATGCACAACATGACTTACAGGGTTTCTAATTTGGTTGTGGCGTTGAACAGCCCGACAGGTAGGTGAACAAGTTGATTACCGTACAAATCTCTGGGACAACAAAGTAGAATTTTGATAGGATGTATATCACTTCCTGGAAGATTATCTTATTACTCTATTTTGTCGTACTAGTTTGTAGGTGGAGTGTGTGGGTTACAGTGAGGGCTTTTACCCAGCCGCCTGTGTAGATTCACACCAAGTTTGAGCTACGAAGTCTGAAGAAAATGTTGAACGCTGAATTCGTCGGGAATGGATGTGTTAGTGCCTCTACAGCATGCAAAGTACATATACATCTATGGAGGTGCACGGCTGGATGTGGCTGTCATTGGAGTCTGGTAGGTTTGAGCAAACATTCTTCGATGCTCGGGTGTATAACCCTTATGTTCGTTCAAACCGAAACCCCGCCTCCCTGGTCACCGTCTATGCCAGACACGAGAAGGAGAATAGTCGCAGCTACGAAGCACGAGTTTTGCACATCGATCATGCATCATTTGTCCCCATCGCCCTAAGTTGCACTGGCGGGCAAAGCGAAGGCTCTGTACTGCAGGGTTGCGTCCATGGTATCGGAGAAGATAGGAGAGTCTTTCTCGTCGGTGATTGCCTTTCTTCGGGTGAGGTTGGGCTTTGCCCTCATCCGAGCAGCTGCCGCTGCCATTCGTGGTCATCGACGTCCAGCCTCTTCCTCTGCCGTTGATCAGAACCGTCGTGAGAACTAACTACTTGCACTGTATCCCCATTGTACTTGCACTTCCTGTCAAAAATTCATCTTTTCTTTTCTCTATTTATTTTCTTTACCAGGCGTGGGCCTGGGCTATCAAAATGGGTGCCTTATTATTTTATCTGTTTCTGTTTTAATGACAGTCCATTGCAGATTACAATTTTTTTACATCTATGCTGTGATAGGTGATTTCAAGTAGTGCTTTGAGCCGAATTCTTACTTTGGGGCTCATAATATGGCCGAATTTGGACATTCTCTCAGCCGATAGAAAAGCCGATTAGGCGAAAAATCGGGTCGATTTGGGAAATGCCTAGCTGGTGCTCATGGCCAATGATACTACCGTGCTCGCTGCAAGTTTTGGGGCTAGTCAAGGGGATATTGCGTTGTGGCGAACAGAGAGCAGATACGGAGGACCAGGCAACCAGTGCAGCTGGTACGGGTAGGGAAGCGAGGCAACAGCACAGCGGATGGCCAGCCTGGTTAGGTGTCCACCAGGACCGAAAGCATCCAGTGCGCAGCGCTGAACATTGTTCAGACGCTGGAGGTGACTCTGCACAGCTCCCATCCACACAAGAGGCGCATACTCCATGACTGGTCGTACCAACGCCTTATATACGGTCCACCTGCCGGCGCAGGTGAGGATGTGGGCGGCTCGGTTTAGGACCCCAAGCCGTTGGAGTGCACGGGTGGCTGCGGAGCATAGGTAGTTTGTAAATTTTATTATTTAAGGGGTCAGTCTACCCATAAATTCCATATGGCATTCAATTGACCGTAACTTTGGTGTCTCTCAATGGATTTGAGTGAAAGTTTGACCACACACTTCTTCAACTATACTGGCTCTCTGGACATGATTTAAAAGTTCTTGTGCCTCGCTGACAGGCTTTCCAAGCCGGAAAAACTCAAAATTCCTGCATAGTGCCTCGGTGTGCGCGACACCCAGTAGCCAAAATAATGCATTTACAACATGTTCACATTTTCGTGCCCATTCTGTCCGTGCACGGGATCCAAACCTAAAACAAGTCCAGAAGCAGCCATGGGTTGTGGGGTAGGGCCCCTCAAAGTGGCCCTGGAATCTGTCACAACGGAACGAGTTTGCGTTCTCTCACAGACTCCCACAGACCCAAGTCAATTTTTGGTTTTTGTAGGTTTAGCACATGCTACGAGGTCGTACCTTTGATACAACATCCAGTGCTGGGACGTCCACAGCAAGCCATTTCCACAGCACTGCACACCAAATCCAGGATACCCTCAAAAATCGGCAAAGACTACCACTCGCGTTCCACTACTGCCTAGTACTGAATTCTACCTGACTTCTTGACACGACTCAAACTTGCCAAAGTCACTAAATCAACGTCAACCACAATATTCAAGCCACATATCTGCAACGTCACGAGGGTGCTGGCAAAGGTCCTGCTGCATGTGCAGCCCAATACGTGGCTAAAAAAAGCAAAATTCTGCACACTTTCGCGTGTTTCCATGATAGGACAAGTTTCGCACGGTCTGCTCATATTCAAATACAGTGCTGCCAAAAAATGACAGCGTGCAAAAGAATCTTTTTCCTTGCAATGGCACATTTTTTCGGCCATACCTCTTGAGCGGCTGGTCAGATCGAGACAACAATTTTCAGAGATTTTGCAGCTACATGTAGTCATGCTCTTTCAACTGACGTAGCACTGGAAATGAATTTACAAATTCGATTTTTCACCGAATTTTTGGGTGGTCTGACACCTTAAATGATCTCCCAAAGGCATAGCCTATCTGGGTGATCAGGTGATCGCTAAAGGTCAACTTGGTGTCCATCTTCACGCCAAGGAGGGTGATGCTGGTTGTCTCGGGTACCAGTGTGCCATCAAACAGGAGTGCGGGGAGATCTAAGCCGGCGCGTCTGAGGGTGACTGTCATGGCCTGGGATTTGGTCGGGTCAAAAATCACTTTCAATGTATGGCCTCTGAGGGTGGCTGTCATGTCCTTGGATATGGTCGGTTGAAAAATCACTTTCCTTGTTTGGTCCCACTGGTGCAGTCTGTCAATGCCCAGCCTGCTGCAGCCAATACAGTTCCTTTTCACAGTGCTACCCGACAGAGCGATACGCAATCGCAGCAGCCATTCGTTTTCGTCAAACTCATTCTTGACACAGATGTCCTCGAACAGGTGGAGATAACGCTCCAGTGGCTGCCTTCCGTCGTATGTCGATACTTTCATTAAAGGCCCATGCCCACCGCTGTGACAGGGAGCCTCCGCTGAACCTCCCATCAACCTCACACGCGCAGCGTCACCCATTCCATCAACCTATCGCCTTCAAATACATACCGAATTCCGTTGGCGAAAAAGTTGGCTTCCAAATAACCTAGTTCCTGTTCCATGCTCGGTTTGTATCCTGGAGTGGTCTCCAAATGTTGTGAACCCTCTGTGATTCTCTAAATTGTCAGGATCGAACGACCACACTGCACGAGGACAACTATTAACTCTTGAGAGAATATTTCACTTCGATCAACAGCAACTAACGCTAAAACCACCAGGTAGTTATAGCGTGAAAATGACAGCAAACACATACAACATACAACTATAGCGCACACAGCAAATCACACATAGCGCATGTAGCGTATACCACGTCGTACACATCAGCAGTACGGCAGAGTCAAGATACAACTGCATTGCAACGAACACAATGCCACAAGCGAGAAGGCCTGTCACACTTGAGAAATTGTGGTTTCATAACAATAAGAGTTTCCATGACTTTCGAGATTATGCACAGCAGCAAGAGTACATAACCCCCAAGAGTGTGCAACTGCCTGCACAACCACTATGCTGTGCTGCGACGGCAGAACTTCACATCACGTGACATGGTTCAAAAGGTTATGCTGGCAAACAGTGCAAAGTGACGACAAGAGAGTTCCCAAAGTACCCAAAGCTGGGCTGCGTACAACCCTGTGTCTATCATGCACAGAGTGCAAATAATGTGTACGGGTTCATCACGTGATGTGAAGTTCTGCTGTCGCAGACCCCATAGCTGGAGTTGCACACTCTTGGGGGTTATGTACTCTTGACAGCAAGGGTACGGGCCTGTAATTCTTAAGGCTTGAGCGGGAAGATTGCTTGTGGTTTTAAACCATGTTGGCCGTCTTCCACATCCTAGGTCGGACTCCAGACCGTAAGCACTGATCCCTGTCTCCATTCTGCCTGTACAATGGCCTTCATTACTTTTAAAATTGTTTGTCCACCCAGCTTCGCGAAATCCCTTCTGGCACTCTCTTCAAATCCCAGATATCCCTGCTGTTGCAAAACTCTGTATGCTCGTGTAGCGACCACCCTGCCCATGCACGTACTCACTACTCCCTGCTCACCCAATTTTTCATCACTCTTCCTCCTCTCTCACACCATTATCGCTTATTGGTCACTGGGTACCGTGAGAATAAAGTTTTGACAACAACCACGTTATGAATTTGCAGTTGAAAGCCCTATTTGAATAAGGTGACCAGCTGTCTTTGATGATGCTGTGCGGTCCATGTACCCCATCTTTTTCATAGCTACGGGAATAAGGCTGCGTTTACACAAAGACAAAATGAAACGAAACGAAACGTAACGAAAACGGGCTGGCCTCGAATCGTTTTAAAATATTTTACACGAGAACGGAAAATCGTTTTGAACCGTTTACACTAAAACGGAAAACGGGCGATCAGGCTAGAGTTAGCACGTGCTGGTTTGGCGCAAGGGCGGGAAGTAACACGTTAGTTGGAGTTGGTACGTGCTGGTGGTCGCAAGGAATGGGTGTTTCCCGCTAGTTATATTCTGGCAAAGAATGGTTTCCATGACCCTGCTCCGTTTCCAATCATTTTCACTGTTTTCACCGTTTACACAAGAATGAAAACGTTTTGAAAACTTTGAAGTGCTTTGCATTTCGTTCCGTTTAGGTATCGTTTTCGGTCGTTGTCGTGTAAACGATAGTAGTAAACGCAACGATATCATTCCGGTTGGCGTATTTCGTTGTCGTGTAAACGCAAATCGTTTTCAATCGTGTAAACGCAGCCTTAAGCATCATTACCGCATAGTGAGGACTCTTGATTGCCATTTAGAGTGAGATTCGTTTTGAAAATTGACTTACATATCCGTAACGAGCTTGTTATTCTGAAATGCTGAGCCACTGAGATTCGTCAAATTGTCAGAGCGCAAAGAACTAGATGCAATAAAGCACAGAATAAAGCGGTATTTTATACACAAAATAAAGGACCAAGGAACTACACGTTATGGTATACAGTCCATTAACACCACCAGTTACTAAACAATCAGCGCGTGCGATAATAGCGCACGACACTGACCAACGGTACAGACGTTTCACGGCTGTTATGCATGCATAATCCAGCGACATTATGTACCGTGCGACATTTCCCCGTCACCCAGTGATCCATGATGCGGTCTTACACGACCTTGCTGCCTTTTTCAAATCTCTGGAAATAGTTGGCAAGGTTTAGCCTATGTTTCTGTCGATTCCAGCCGTTTTCCACGCTGGATTCGCGAAGTCTCGGCGAATTCACCTTCCTGCCTTCAAGCTGCGCAAGCAGATATTTTGATCGTCAAACTGCGCAATGGGAAAGTGAAGTTACGATCTTTTTCATTTTGTTCCACCTCGGCGTGCCGGCCATTGGCGTTTATCAGAATTGGCTCTCATTTGAGGCTTCCTCCTAAGGAGTGCAGAATTTTTGGCAGCCTTCACGCCAATTTTGATTGAAACGTTTGTCCTTTTCCTACGTCGTAGTTATATTTTCATTGCCTCCCAGATTATCGTTTTCGTGCCCAAGTCGATTTGCGTGGCGTACTTGGACGTTAGTTGCAAGTGTTTGCTGATATATGCAGAACGAGTGGAGGTGTGTTCTCCTGCCTCAATGTCTAACGAAGACCCCGGTTTCATTCGCCATAGGAGGAATCCGTGCATGCTTCGTTCTGGATGTCAGCAAGTACAAATCAGACATGCATCCAATGAACATTTTTTGAAATCCATGCTTTCGAAATGTATGTAGAAGCAGGACATTGTGTACAGATTTTAAATGTTAGACAGATAGGCATGGGTTTTTTGTATTACTAGTTTTACTGCAGACTTAGGCCTCGCACAATGTAGTCTGTCGGTGATCCTGCTGAAAAGCACACACTTGCATGCGTGAAGACCATACGGAAATACTTTTAAAAGTAATTGAACAACAACAAACGGCAACTATGATGCACCTCTCAACTTGTGGAGTTGGAAATCTAGCTCCAGCACCGCAGAGCTCTCAGCAGTATGCAGCGTGAGCAAGGCGTGTATGGTCGAAGTGAAAATACTTCCGTGACTCTTCAGCCACGTCTGGCTCTTGACACGTAGTCCTGAGAAATTTCTCACGAAACAGGTTTTTCGTCCACTGACATTACTTTCCCCTTGCTGTAATCTCTGTGTGAAACTTACGAACGGGACGAAAACGACATGCATTTTTGTATCTTGCACAATTGTATCTTGCACTGCATCAGCACTAAGCACAGCATGGCACTCAGGACAGTGCCGCAGCCGCTGGTGATGGCCGTACCCGGTTTTACCACTCTCGGCGTTCATGATAATTACATGTAAGGCAACACTTTGTTTTTTCTATGTTTCTCGTCATCGCCCGCGTAGGTTTTCAGAAATTTGGGAAGAAAAAAAAAGTTCATACTATATACATGTATGTGCGCTGCACATGCTGCAGCAACTATTACTAGATGGGTCAATCAAAATCGTAAATGTTTGCAACACAGCAGCAAAGAAGCGCTCCTCGTCCGTTCTCTGCGATGAAGGCTGTCATGACGAAGCTTTCAGTCTTTCACTGCCTGAGCCTCGTGGGTCCCAGGAATACCGTAAGTCGGACGAGTTCCGTTGCAACTGGCGTCTGTGGAACGATGTCGTAGGCAGAAAATCCAAGCAATAGACGCATGGCAAGGAAAATATGAGCAGCATGGAGACAAGAGTTTGATAAGCGGACACAAGAACGTTGAAGTAACAAAACCAAAATTAATGACGAGTGGGAAACGTTTGTTGATGCGATAGCAGATAAATGTATGTTCTCTTCGCCATCTCGTAATCAAACTTTATGCTCTCATTGTTGCAGTTTGCCTGATATTCGTGGGCTGATGTGATAATGTAGTGCAATCATGTATGAGACTACATGTACATGATTGTACAATTGTAGTCCTGTATACATGGTATACGCATGGCCACGGGGTACCTCGACAGCCTGACAAAAGACCAGTTTATCTCCGGGCTTGACTCACGGGGCATGCGGGTCCGCGTTCGGGAGCTAAACCCGCAAACGACAGACAGGGCCCTCCAGGCTGAGTGAGCCGTCTGAGTGTGAGAGGCTGAATGAGCCGTATGAGGATTCTGGTAACAAGGTTGACTCCCCAAATAGATAACCTCCTATTCACTGTTAACTGTAGAGGGGGTGCCACAGATTGTGGACAACACAGTAAGATCGGGCGCCGAAGAACACCTCGCCGAAGAACACCCAGGCTGGACAGCCCGCAAAATTTAAGAACAGTCCAGGCTAGAATTATCAGATTTAAGAACACACTACATTGTAGATGTATGGGAGGTGAGTACATGTCATGTACACGTGTAAACAGTAACTGCTACATGTACATTCATTCCCAATTACGACACCCACTAGTTAAGAAGTACTACATTGCACTACATGTACATATACATGTACATGTACATGTACATGACAAACGTCATGACGTCACTCGACTCGCCGCGCGCTAGAATCAAAAATTAAAGAACTTTCCTAGGCTGCGCTCGAGCCCCTGCGTTCTTCGGCGCCCCATCTTACTGTAGTAGAGTGATATTGAGTTACTGAGTGTACAGTCGGTACATTGGTGACATTCGGTTATGCTCTGGCACCCACAATAAGTGGGCTCAGTCTGTCTGATCAGCGCTTACCCAGGACCGGTGCTGCAAGCTTTCATGGCAGTTTGCATGTGGACTTCCATTACTCGGCTGTGCAAGGCACGGCCGAAGTCTCCCCAGGAATGGACGGAAGAGCACGCACGGGAGTGGGCATGTGAGCGGCGGTAGGGTGGCACGAATATAATCGCTTGTAATCTTGCCTGGAGAGAGCGTCAGCAATGATGTTAGTAGTTCCAGGTATGTGACGGACGGTGACCATAAAGTTACCCTTGGCGCAGATGAAGAAGAGCTGCCGTAGGAGTGACATCACATTAGGGCAGCGACTGGTGCAGACTTGAGAACAGCGGCGACAGCTTCGTTGTCGGTATGGAAGCGGATACGCTTGGAACACCACTGGTGGCCCCACGTAGCACATGCAAAGCAGATGGGATACAGCTCCTTGAACGTAATGCAGAGCGGAGTGTGTTGTGGTGACCAGTAAACTGCGCCATGCCCAATGGCGCCAGATGCGTCAGTTTCTAGCAGGATGTCGCTGGCTAGCGTCTCCTGGAGATCGAGGAAGAATGACTTGCCATTCCAGCCCTCGAGTAGGTTAGACCACCAAAGAAGGTCCAGATGACATTCTGGAGAGAGACGAATGCGGTGGTAGGGCTTGGAAACGTTGCGCGTGGCATCATACAGTCGGCGCATGAATGTACGGTCCGGCGTGATGACGCGGCTGGCAAAGTTCAGCTTGCCCAACAGCTGTTCAAGCTCCCGTAGACGGCAGGATTGGCGTTGGCGAAAAGGCCAATAGTCTGGAGCGGATGTCGTCAACCTTGTCCTGTGGGAGACGAGCCACTTTCTGGACGGACCCCAAACATGCACAGAAGGATGCTCAAAGGACTAGTTTTAAATTTAGGAATGAGCCACCTTAAAGCTTTCGAGAAGGCCGCAAGTTATGAGAACTCGGAGACTCTCACGTTTCTCTTCCAACAAATGCAGTGTACAAGGCCTCGAACTTACTACGATGGACTTACTGAACACAGCATCCACTGGTTCACATGCACTAAGCACAATTCACTTTTTTCCCAGTGCAGTGTCGTAGAAAACAGAATTCAGGTTTTGCAAATGTGCATGGCAACTACGAATACGGCCGGTAGGTTGGCGTACGGGTGTGTTCGCGCACACGTGCATGGATCATGAAATCAAGGGAAAAACTGTGTACCTGGCAAAACATGTGTACCTTGCAAAAATATGTGTACCTGACGGATTCGGAGGGTGCTACGAATGAAGAGGCTTCCATTCGTGAAAACGAGCTCTCCGCGGGGACTCTGACGAATCCTCGAACCCAGGTGACGAATCAGCATTCGTTTCATATCCGTACGCGTGGTGCAAAAGGTCCCTATTATCCGTCCGATATCAACTGATCGTCACACAACGAGATGCCACCAGGTATTGGCGGATATTGCTCGAAAAGATTTTTGATAGGATGTAAATCACTTCCTAGAAGAATCTCTTTATACCATGCTATATACATTTGCCACATCTCAAAAGAACGGAACTATGCAAACAAATCTCTTTTCCAATACATGCACACCATGACTTACAGGTTTCGTAATTTGGTTGTGGTGTTGAACAGCCCGGAAGGTAGTTGAAAAAGTTTATTACCGGTCAAATCTCTAGGACAACAAAGTAGAATTTTAATAGGATGTGTATCACTTCCTGGAAGAATATCTTTTTATTCTATTTTGCGTACTAGTTTGTAGTTGGAGTGTGTGGGTTACAATGAGGGCTGTGTCCCACCCGGCTGTGTAGATCCACACAAAGTGTGAGCTACGAAGTCTGAAGAAAATATTGAACGCGGAATTCGTCGGGAATGGATGTGTTAGTGCCTCTACAGCGCGCAAGTAAATGTACATCTATGGAGGTGCACGTCTGGATGTGGGTGCCAGTGGAGTCTGGGGAAGAAGGTTTGAGCAAACATTCTTCGATGTTCAGGTGTTTAATCCTTATGCTCGTTCAAACCGAAACCCCGCCTCCCTGGTGTCCGTCTATGCCAGACACGAGAAGGAGAAGCGTCGAAGCTACTAAGCACGAGTTTTGCACATCGAGCATGCGTCATTTTTCCCCATCGTTCTCAGTTGCACTGGCGGGCAAAGCAAAGCAGCGAAGGCTCTCTAACGTAGGGTTGCGTCCATGGTATCGGAGAAGACAGGAGAGTCTTTCTCGTCTGTGATTGCCTTTCTTCGAATGAGGTTGGGCTTTGCCCTCATCCGAGCAACTGCTGCTGCCATTCGTGGTCATCGACGTCCAGCCTCTTCCTCTGCCGTTGATCAGAACCGGTCAGCAGCTTTGGCTGTTGCGCAGTGTGGCTTTGCGTTGTGAGAATTTACTACTTGGTCTGTATCCCTATTGTACTTTTACTTCCTGTGAAATATCCGTCTTTTTTTTTCTCTGTTTATTCTCTTTACCAGGCGTGGGCCATCCCCTGGACTATCAAAATGGGTGCCTTATTATTTTTCTGTGTCTGTTATAATGACAGTTCATTGCGGATTACAATAAAATTACATCTATACTGTGATAGGTGATTGCAAGTACTGCTTTGAGCCGAATTCTGACTTTGGTGATCATAATATGGCCGAATTTGGACATTCTCATAGCCAATCGAAAAGCCGATTAGGTGCAAAATTGGGCCGATTTGGGAAATGCCTAGCTGGTGCTCATGGTCAATGACACTACCGTGCTCGCTGAGAGTTCTGGGGTTGGTCAAGGGGATATTACGCTGTGGCAAACAGAGAGCAGATTCGGAGGACCAGGCAAGCAGTGCAGCTTGTACGGGAAGGCAAGCGGGGCAACAGTACAGCGGATGGCCAGCATGGTTAGATGTCCACCAGGGCCGATAGTACCCAATGCGTGGCTCAGAACATTGTTCAGGCACTGGAGGTGACTCTGCACAGCTCCCATCCACAGAAGAGGCGAATACTCCATGACTGGTGGTACGAACGCCTTATACACGGTCATCCTGCCGGCGCAGGTGAGGATGTGGGCGGCTCTGTTTAGGACCCCAAGCCGTTGGCGTCCACTTGTGGCTACGGAGCGTAGTTATTTTGTATTTATCATTTAAAGGGGTCAGCCTACCCATAAATTTCATATGGCATTCAATCGACAGTAACTTTGGTGTCCCTCAATGGATTTGAGTTAAAATTTGACCGCAGACTCCTGCCACTATGCTGGCCCTCTGGACATGATTTAAAAGTTCTTAGGCCTCGCTGACAGACTTCTCACGCCAAATTCCAAATTCCGGCATAGTGCCACGGTGTGCGAGCCACCCAGGAGCCAAAAGAATGCATTTACAATTTTTCAACATTTTCGTGCCCATTCTGTCCGTGCGCGGGATCCAAACCTAAAACAAGTCCAGAAGCAGCCATGGGTGGTGGGGTAGGGCCCCTCGACGGGGCCCTGGAATCTGTTACAACTGAACGAGTGGGCGTTCTCTCACAGACCCCAACAAACCCAAGTCAATTTAGATTTTTTTAGGTTAAGCACGTGCTACGAGGTGGTACTTTTGGTACAACATCTAGCACGTGGACCTCCACAGCAAGCCATTTCCACAGCGCTGCACACCAAATCCAGAATACCCTTAAAAATTGGCAAAGACCACCACTCGCGTTCCACTACTGCCTAGTACTGAATCCTACCTGACTTCTTGACACGACTCAAAATTGCCAAAGTCACTAAATCAACGTCAACTACAATAATCAAGCCACATATCTGCAACGTCACACACGAGGGTGCCCGCCGCTGTCCAGCCCAATTCTTGGCTAAAAAACCTGTTTTTGTACTTGGAGCAAAATTCTGCACAGTTCCGCGTTTTTCCATGATACGACAAATTGCGCACTGTCTAAACAGATTCAAATACAGTGCTGCCAAAAAATGACAGCCAGCAGAAAAAACATCTTTCCTTGCAAGGGCACACTTTCGGTCATAACTCTTGAACGGCTGTTCAGATCGAGACAAAATTTTCAGAGATTTTGCAGCTATTCATGCTCTTTCAACTGACGTAGCGTAGCGCATAGCATGTCTCTGTTCGATAGCGTATCCCCGTACATTAGCATACGGAGTCTGCCTGTGCATTAAAGCTGCTGTTCACGATTCTTTTGAGCCAGTTAATTTCATTGCCAGTTATAGTTACATTTCAATTGCCAGGTACAGTGTGTTCACTGAGACCCTTGTGCATTCTTGCCTCCGAGAGACTGCGGCCCGCTAAAAATTGGTGGCAGCGGTAAATTCGTTTTGTTTCATTCTATACCTAACTTTGTTACTTTACACATTCTCCGAACCGATGGCCAAACCAAATGTACCTGCTGTGGATCCCGTCGCTGCGCCCGCTGCAGCTCCAGCTCCGCCCGCTCCTGCTCAATCACCGAGAGGGGCGTACAATGTGCAGCCCGAAAAATACAAGGGTCGCCGGGAGATCAACTTCGCGCCCTGGCTGATGCATTTCGACCAGGTCGCCGCGGTAAACAAATGGAACCCAGTTCAGCAGACCCAGCTCCTGGGCCTCGCACTGGAAGGCGAGGCCCAGCTGTATTACCAATCGCGCCCAGCGGCCACTAGGAACGGAGGCCGCCAACAGCTAGTCCAGGCGCTGCAAGCTCGGTTTGATCCAGCGCAGCGCGATGACCTCCATCGCGCAACGTTTCAAGCTCGTCGCCAGCCCAAAGACGAACAACTGGGTACTTTCTGTGAGGCGGTTCGCTCCCCGGCCCGGCAAGCTTACCTCCAGATGGCCACGGGGTACCTCGACAGCCTGACAAAAGACCAGTTTATCTCCGGGCTTGACTCACGGGGCATGCGGGTCCGCGTTCGGGAGCTAAACCCGCCAACGACAGACGGGGCCCTCCAGGCTGAGTGAGCCGTCTGAGTGTGAGAGGCTGAATGAGCCGTATGAGGAGCCTGGTAACGAGGTTGACTCCCCAAATAGAAAACCTTCTATTCACTGTTAACTGTAGAGGGGGTGCCACAGATTGTGAACAACACAGTAAGATCGGGCGCCGAAGAACACCTCGCCGAAGAACACCCAGGCTGGACAACCCGCAAAATTTAAGAACAGTCCAGGCTAGAATTATCAGATTTAAGAACACACTACATTGTAGATGTATGGGAGGTGAGTCCATGTCATGTACACGTGTAAACAGTAACTGCTACATGTACATTCATTCCCAATTACGACACCCACTAGTTTAAAAGTACTACATTGCACTACATGTGCATATACATGTACATGTACATGTACATGACAAACGTCATGACGTCACTCGACTCGCCGCGCGCTAGAATCAAAAATTAAAGAACTTTCCTAGGCTGCGCTTGAGCCCCTGCGTTCTTCGGGGCCCGATCTTACTGTAGTAGATTGATATTGAGTTACTGAGTGTACAGTCGGTACATTGGTGACATTCGGTTATGCTCTGGCACCCACAATAAGTGGGCTCAGTCTGTCTGATCAGCGATTACCCAGGACCGGTGCTGCAAGCTTTTATGGCGGTTTGCATCTGGACTTCCGTTACTCGGCGGTGCCAGGCACGGCCGAAGTCTCCCCAGGAATGGACGGAAGAGCACGCACGGGAGTGGGCATGTGAGCGGCGGTAGGGTGGCACGAATGGAATCGCTTGAAATCTTGCCTGGAGAGAGCGTCAGCAAGGATGTTAGTAGTTCCAGGTATGTGACGGACTGTGACCATAAAGTTACCCTTGGCGCAGACGAAGAAGAGCTGCCGTAGGAGTGACATCACAAAAGGGCAGCGACTGGTGCAGACTTGAGAACAGCGGCGACAGCTTCGTTGTCGGTATGGAAGCGGATACGCTTGCGACACCACTGGTGGCCCCACGTAGCACATGCAATGCAGATGGGATACAGCTCCTTGAACGTAATGCAGAGCAGAGTGTGTTGTGGTGACCAGGTGTCGGCGAACCAATGCGTGCCGTAAACTGCGCCATGCCCAATGGCGCCAGATGCGTCAGTTTCTAGCAGGATGTCGCTGGCTAGCGTCTCCTGGAGATCGAGGAAGAATGACTTGCCATTCCAGCCATCGAGTAGGTTAGACCACCAAAGAAGGTCCAGATGACATTCTGGAGAGAGACGAATGCGGTGGTAGGGCTTGGAAACGTTGCGCGTGGCATCATACAGTCGGCGCATGAATGTACGGCCCGGCGTGATGACGCGGCTGGCAAAGTTCAGCTTGCCCAACAGCTGTTAAAGCTCCCGTAGACGGCAGGATTGGCGTTGGCGAAAAGGCCAATAGTCTGGAGCGGATGTCGTCAACCTTGTCCTGGGGGAGACGAGCGACTTTCTGGACGGACCCCAAACATGCACAGAAGGATGCTCAAAGGACTAGTTTTAAATTTAGAAATGAGCCACCTTAAAGCTTGCGAGAAGGCCGCAAGTTATGAGAACTCGGAGACTCTCACGTTTCTCTTCAAACAAATGCAGTGTACAAGGCCTCGAACTTACTACGATGGACTTACTGAACACAGCATCCACTGGTTCACATGCACTAAGCACAATTCACTTTTGTCCCAGTGCAGTGTCGTTGAAAACAGAATTCAGGTTTTGCAAATGTGCATGGCAACTACGAATACGGCCGGTAGCTTGGCGTACGGGTGTGTTCGCGCACACGTGCATGGATCATGAAATCAAGGGAAAACTGTGTACCTGGCAAAACATGTGTACCTTGCAAAAAGATGTGTACCTGACGGATTCGGAGGGTGCTACGAATGAAGAGGCTTCCATTCGTGAAAACGAGCTCTCCGCGGGGACTCTGACGAATCCTTGAACCCGGGTGACGAATCAGCATTTTCTTTCGTATCCGTACGCGTGGTGCAAAAGGTCCCCATTATCCGTCCGATATCAACTGATCGTCACACAACGAGATGCCACCAGGTATTGGCGGATATTGCTCGAAAAGGTGGCAGATTCTACTCGAAAAGCAATGAAATTGGAAGAACGATACAAACCTAATGGCGGGCAATTCCTCGAATTCTGCTCCATTCCTTTATCCACTTAAAAAACATACATGAAACTTACCAGAAAAAGTACCGAATTCTGCCAATTATTCTACCGGCATTATCCGCATTTTGCCTAGATGCCACATCCCGAAATCCCATTCGCCACATCCTAAAAGAAGAGAACTACGCCAACAAAAACGCCTTTTTATGATACACGCACAACAAGACTTACAGGTGTTCTAATTCGGTTGTCGCATTGAACAGCCCGGCTGGTAGGTAAACAATTTTATTATTCCACAAACTCCTGGGAGAACAAAGTAGATTTTTGATAGGATGTAAATCACTTCCTAGAAGAATCTCTTTATACCATGCTATATACATTTGCCACATCTCAAAAGAACGGAACTATGCAAACAAATCTCTTTTCCAATACATGCACACCATGACTTACAGGTTTCGTAATTTGGTTGTGGTGTTGAACAGCCCGGCAGGTAGGTAAAAAAGTTGATTACCGGTCAAATCTCTAGGACAACAAAGTAGAATTTTAATAGGATGAGTATCACTTCCTGGAAGAATATCTTTTTATTCTATTTTGCGTACTAGTTTGTAGTTGGAGTGTGTGGGTTACAATGAGGGCTGTGTCCCACCCGCCTGTGTAGATCCACACAAAGTGTGAGCTACGAAGTCTGAAGAAAATATTGAACGCGGAATTCGTCGGGAATGGATGTGTTAGTGCCTCTACAGCGTGCAAGTAAATGTACATCTATGGAGGTGCACGTCTGGATGTGAGTGCCAGTGGGGTCTGGGAAAGTAGGTTTGAGCAAACATTCTTCGATATTCAGGTGTTTAACCCTTATGCTCGATCAAACCGAAACCCCGCCTCCCTGGTGTCCGTCTATGCCAGACACGAGAAGGAGAAGCGTCGAAGCTACTAAGCACGAGTTTTGCACATCGAGCATGCGTCATTTGTTCTCATCGTTCTCAGTTTCACTGGTGGGCAAAGCAAAGCAGCGAAGGCTCTCTACAAACAGAGAGCAGATTCGGAGGACCAGGCAAGCAGTGCAGCTTGTACGGGCAGGCAAGCGAGCAACAGTCCAGCGGATGGCCAGCATGGTTAGATGTCCACCAGGGCCGATAGTAGCCAATTCGTGGCGCTGAACATTGTTCAGGCACTGGAGGTGACTCTGCACAGCTCCCATCCACAGAAGAGGCGAATACTCCATGACTGGTGGTGCGAACGCCTTATACACGGTCATCCTGCCGGCGCAGGTAAGGATGTGGGCGGCTCTGTTTAGGACCCCAAGCCGTTGGCGTCCACTTGTGGCTACGGAGCGTAGTTATTTTGTATTTATCATTTAAGGGGCTGTCCGAGGTTACTAATAATATTTTCAAATCGAAAGGTTTTCGTTTGTGGGTGGGTGGGTTTAATGGTGTTTCGTTTTGAAAATAATTATTGAATGTTGATTGAGAATGCCCAGTTACTTCTGGATGTCGAAAATTGACATCAATATTTTATTGGAATTCGTTTTACCTGCAGAAAAGGTGGGTGGGTGGTTGGGGGCTGAAAAATACTAAAACTTTTCGTTTTGTAAAAACAATCGGTAACCCCGGACGGCCCCTAAGGGGTCAGCCTACCCATAAATTTCATAAGGCATTCAATCGACAGTAACTTTGGTGTCCCTCAATGGATTTGAGTTAAAATTTGACCGCAGACTCCTGCCACTATGCTGGCCCTCTGGACATGATTTAAAAGTTCTTACGCCTCGCTGACAGACTTTCCACGCCAAATTCCAAATTCCGGCATAGTGCCACGGTGTGCGAGCCACTCAGGAGCCAAAAGAATGCATTTTCAACATTTTCGTGCCCATTCTGTCCGTGCGCGGGATCCAAACCTAAAACAAGTCCAGAAGCAGCCATGGGTGGTGGGGTAGGGCCCTTCGACGGGGCCCTGGAATCTGTTACAACTGAACGAGTGGGCGTTCTCCCACAGACCCCAACAAACCCAAGTCAATTTAGATTTTTTTAGGTTAAGCCCGTGCTACGAGGTGGTACCTTTGATACAACATCTAGCACTTGGACCTCCACAGCAAGCCATTTCCACAGCGCTGCACACCAAATCCAGGATACCCTTAACAATTGACAAAGACTACCACTCGCGTTCCACTACTGCCTTGTACTGAATCCTACCTGACTTCTTGACAGGACTCTACGTGCCAAAGTCACTAAATCAACGTCAACTACAATAATCAAGCCACATATCTGCAACGTCGCACACGAGGGTGCCCGCCGCTGTCCAGCCCAATACTTGGCTAAAAAACCTGTTTTTGTACTTGAAGCAAAATTGTGCACACTTCCGCGTGTTTCCATGATACGACAAATTGCGCACTGTCTGAACAGATTCAAATACAGTGCTGCCAAAAAATGACAGCCAGCATAAAAACATCTTTCCTTGCAAGGGCACACTTTCGGCCATAACTCTTGAACGGCTGGTCAGATCGAGACAAAATTTTCAGAGATTTTCAGCTATTCATGCTCTTTCAACTGACGTAGTGTAGCGTATAGCATGTCTCCGTTTGATAGCGTATCCACGTACATTAGCATATGGAGTCTGCCTGTGCATTTAAGCTGCTGATTATGTTGAGCCAGTTGATTTCATTGCCAGTTATTGTTACGTTTCAATTGCCAGGTACAGTGTGTTCACTGAGACCCTTGTGCATTCTTGCCTCCAAGAGACTGCGGCCCGCTACAAATTGGTGGCAGCGGTAAATTCGTTTTGTTTCATTCTATACCTAACTTTGTTACTTTACACATTCTCCGATCCGATGGCCAAACCAAATGTACCTGCTGTGGATCCCGTCGCTGCGCCCGCTGCAGCTCCAGCTCCGCCCGCTCCTGCTCAACCACCGAGAGGGGCGTACCATGTGCAGCCCGAAAAATACAAGCTGTCCCTTTGGGAAAACGCGGCCAAGAATTAACAATTCCGCGGCAAATTCCGTGGGAAAAGGGGGTTTTCTGCCGCATTTTCTGTGGTAAAATCAAAAATCTGCGGCACTTACTGCAAGTTTTCACCCTCCTTGTAGAGGATATGACAACTAGTTGCATGAAGGAGCACTTTTCACACTATCCTTTGCAGTCACAAACTGGCATGAGAGTGAAGAATTTTGGAGATCCCGCACTCACCCACACTGGCAAGAGCCTAATGTGCTCCAACAGATCGCGAAGTAGTTTTTCTGCTGCTTTCTGAGTAGTAATTTTACTAATTTACCCTAAAACATTCAAATTCCGCGGGCAAAAGTGTAGATTCTGTGATTTCCGCGGATGATAGCAATTTCTGCTAAATTTGCCCCGACCGCGGAATCGCGTTTTTCCAAGGGGACAGTACAAGGGTCGCCGGGAGATCAACTTCGCGCCCTTGCTGATGCATTTCGACCAGGTCGACGCGGTAAACAAATGGAACCCCGTTCAGCAGACGCAGTTCCTGGGCCTCGCACTGGAAGGCGAGGCCCAGCTGTATTACCAATCGCTCCCAGCGGCCACTAGGAACGGAGGCCGCCAACAGCTAGTCCAGGCGCTGCAAGCTCGGTTTGATCCAGCGCAGCGCGTTGACCTCCATCGCGCAACGTTTCAAGCTCGTCGCCAGGCCAAAGACGAACAACTGGGTACTTTCTGTGAGGCGGTTCGCTCCCCAGCCCGGCAAGCTTACTTCCAGATGGCCACGGGGTACCTTGACAGCCTGACAAAAGACCAGTTTATCTCCGGGCTTGACTCACGGGGCATGCGGGTCCGCGTTCGGGAGCTAAACCCGCAAACGACAGACGGGGCCCTCCAGGCTGAGTGAGCCGTCTGAGTGTAAGAGGCTGAATGAGCCGTATGAGGAGCCTGGTAACAAGGTTGACTCCCCAAATAGAGAACCTCCTATTCACTGTTAACTGTAGACGGGGTGCCACAGATTGTGGACAACACAGTAAGATCGGGCGCCGAAGAACACCTCGCCGAAGAACACCCAGGCTGGACAACCCGCAAAATTTAAGAACAGTCCAGGCTAGAATTATCAGATTTAAGAACACACTACATTGTAGATGTATGGGAGGTGAGTACATGTCATGTACACGTGTAAACAGTAACTGCTACATGTACATTCATTCCCAATTACGACACCCACTAGTTTAGAAGTACTTCATTGCACTACATGTACATATACATGTACATGTACATGTACATGACAAACGTCATGACGTCACTCGACTCGCCGCGCGCGGGTGAATAAGAACGGTCGGGCTAGAATCAAAAATTAAAGAACTTTCCCAGGCTGCGCTCGAGCCCCTGCGTTCTTCGGCGCCCGATCTTACTGTCGTAGAGTGATATTGAGTTACTGAGTGTATAGTCGGTACATTGGCGACATTCGGTTATGCTCTGGCACCCACAATAAGTGACATTCTGGAGAGAGACTGATGCGGTGGTAGGGCTTGGAAACGTTGCGCGTGGCATCATACAGTCGGCGCATGAATGTACGGCTGGGCGTGATGACGCGGCTGGCAAAGTTCAGCTTGCCCAACAGCTGTTCAAGCTCCCGTAGACGGCAGGATTGGCGTTGGCGAAAGGCCAATAGTCTAGAGTGGATGTCGTCAACCTTGTCCTGGGGGAGACGAGCCACTTTTTGGACGGTGTCCAGTTCGACGCCCAGGAAGGTGAGACAGGAGGTTGGGCCGACTGTCTTTTCGTCGGCAATGGGAACTCCCAGGTAGCGGAATACGGAGAGTGCTACGTTCAGACGCTGCGCACATAGCGTTGAATTTGCGGGGCCACAGAGCCAGACGTCGTCCAGAAGGTGCAGGAGGTGGGGAACCTGGAACAGTTCACAGCTTATCTGGCAAAATGCGTCCGCAATGCAGTTAACCCTTTGTGTACCAGCCCCATCTCGAACCGTAACCGTACGTTACGGCTCGACGCACCGCACTGCGCCGCGCCGTTCGGCGGCGTCCTTGTTCCGATCGACTCGCGGTTTTTTGCGCTGAGATCCCACTGCAAATTCTGATGTATGATGTGGGTAGGTTGCCATTTGAAAGTATGGAGAATGATCGCGGCGAAAAGTGCGCTTTGCAATTTCAGCGCTCTGCGATATATTTTAGCAATTTCGATCGTGTTTTCGTTCGGTTACGCTGCTTGTATCTGGAATATAGCTTGCTCTAGCTGTTGTCGATGTCTACTAGTGATGGTGAACGCCAGGAGAGAGTTGTAGTAGCGATATAATCTCAGGATCTGCAATGAAAATGAGAATTTCCATCGCTGAAGCCATTGCAGTATTCGCTCTCCAAGGAGCAGCGAGAGGGAGCGCAGCGATGGCCTGAAATAATCAAGGCAGGTGAATTTCCTCACCCATCGACTATTCCTGGTCTTCTCAATCGCCAATACCCTCGCTGGACGCAAGTAGATAAGTGAAAAGTACATATTCAAATCTGACACAATTTCAATAATTTGAAATTTTGATGCAATTGTTTGGCATCTGGTATTCACGCAATATGGCTCTTTTCCGTCCATTTCGCTATTGTTGAAGCATGCAACTGGCGGCTATACACTAGTACAGTGGTCTCCTGTTGCTCTGTGTGAAGAAGGGCAATGTCAGCAAGTATATTCACGATTCCAAGTACACGGATCTAAATTGTCAGGAATATGGACAATAGACTCAGAAATAGGTATTCCAGGTATGGACTGTATCTGTAGTTGTGTGCTCGGTCAAAATATTTTCTTACCTGGACACATTGATACCAACAGATTCAGAAAAACATAACTTGCACATACAAAATGTGTCTTAGTTTTATGCTATAGGTCCATCATTACCGATGAGTACCCCGCGCATACATTAGATGCCTGGTACACAAAGGGTTAAACAAGTAGGTTGCGGACCTCAGCCCGAATGGCAGTACTTTGTCATAGTAGAATTGGCCCTGCCACTGGAACCCAACAAATGGTATGCAGTGGGTGCGACAGGGACCAGTCGAAATGTTGTTGTTGTTGTTGAATTTTATTTTACCTCACCAATTGCACAGGCATGATTGCCTTCTTACCGGCCCATAGGTCCGGTTCTCACAGAAAGATGAAGAAAATTATATGAGGAAATGTATAGAGATAAAGACATGCAAGCGGTATGATTATTATTATAGAAATGTTTGTTATGACATTGTGTGTTTGCTGACACTCAATTTGTGTGAATTATTTATCATGTGATAACAAATAAAATGTAGTGGAAGCATTTCATGAGAATATGTGTGAACATTGGCAGACTTTGTCACCAAATGCATTGCGTATGTCGAGCTTCGCCATCAAGGCGCCGGTACCTTGACGTTGCAGAAGCTCAATGGTATCGTCCACTGTAACATAATGTAGGGAGAACGAATCCTTGTTTATTCCATCATTGACAGACATACGGTCAGGGTAAGACCGGTGGTGAATGAGGCGGAATTTCCCGTGGTTCTTGGGCACTACGCCGAGCGGAGAGCATACAAATGGGTGGAAAGGCTGGACAGAGAAAGGACCGGCCGATTTGTCACGTCGGACCCGGTCAGCAATTTGTTGTTGTACAAACTGAGCATGTCCGATGGCAGTTGGGAGGTTGCCAGAGATGATAGATACAGAAGCACCAGAGTGGCCAATGGGGAACCCGTGTTGCAAGCCATTAAGGATAAAGTCAGAGAGGAAACGAGTAGAAATACGAGGCAATGAGTCATTAGGCGGGCTATGTACAGAGGCGTGGGGAGACTACTTCGCTGCGACGGGCTTGTCCGTCTGGCGGGTCCCCGGCGACCGTCATTGGTGCAGCGAGCGGCGGGATGACCTCGGTCACCGCAGGTTGAGCAGACGTTCAAGCGTTTACAGGGCTGGTGTTGGCATGGGCGGCCACGGTTGAAGTTGAGGCAGATCTGGCGGGTGCTGCCCGCCCCGGCCAGAAATGGCTGCGTAGGACGGCTGGTATTGGTGCCAGCAGGAGCATGTGGCCCTGCCAAATACTGCGGGCAACAGTCACGGCTGTGGTGCGTTGTGCAGCGCGGACATGATGGTTGGGGTGCCCGGATCAGGTGCAGGCTCCAGAGGCTTTGGTCGATTGCGTCTCAACGAGGAGAGGTTGTTGCCACCGCTGCACGGAAGGCACGGTCATACCCCAGTACAGCTGCGATCGCAAGCTGCTGGTTGGCAGTACAGATAATGTGCTGGGACGTCACCAGCTCCAGTGCTCGGAATGGCACATGTTTCAGTGCGCAGGCCATGTAGACTGTGTAGGATTCCAGGCAGGCATTGAAGTCGACAATGGAGCGCTTCTTTAAAAAAGTAAAGTAAATTATCGTATCCGTTCCCGAAGGGAACTCACGACGGCCGCTAACACCCGATAAACCCGATGGAGCGCTTCTTAGTCACACATAAATTGAGGGACACACGCCGGCCCTCTACGTTGGCGGTACTGAACTCCAAGGGCTCGGACCCTGCGCCCACATTCTCCGGGAGGAGATCCTCCAGCCCAATATATTCGCCGCGAGTGATTTTGTCAAGCAACTTACGCGGGACCATGGGAACAATAGAGCTGGACTCACAAGTGTTCGCCATAGGCGCTGCGATCGGAGGCAGCGCGGGTTCCATGAGGGAAATGTCCATGGGGCCGGAGTCGATCTGCGGCGGGTGATGGGTGACGGAGTTGGACGAGGTTTGGACCACATCTGCCACTGAGGGGACCGCCGCCTGAGCATGGCCGTCCGGATCCTGGCGAGCTGAAATTCGCTCCTCAAGGCGCTCGACACGAGCCAGCAGGGGGTGCAGGGCCGTCAACACGGCCGCCGTAACGGAACGTGGATTTAGCCCAGTTGTGAGTAAGCTGGCCGACTGGGGAACGGCGGACGGGATATCGTCCTGCTCCGCACGGGCATCGCGGGAACGATCGGCCTCATGGTCCGCATGGGCTCGATTTGGAGTGTCGGCATACAGGGACGACGAGGCGCGCCTGCGACTGGAACGCCTGGGCCCGGGGGCCGACTGCTTACGTACACGGGGCATCTCCATGAGGAAAGAATTGAGAAAGAAATCCACTGCCAATGCGGACAAAGCAAGAACTGAAGTCAAGAACAGTGGGCTTCGGAGAACAATGAGCGCGTGAGAGTTTGTTGGGAACAGAACATGCGCCTTCTGAGTTAACATATTTTTGCGCGAGCGTAAAAAATAATTTTACGGTACATGCACAACATTACTTACAGCTTTTGTAATTTGGTTGTGGCGTTGAACAGCCCGGCAGGTAGCTGAACAAGTTGATTACCTTTCAAATCTCTGGGAGAACAAAGTATAATTTTGATAGGATGTATATCACTTTCTTGAAGAATTTCTTACGACTCCATTTGGCGTCTCAGAAGAGAAAGACAACCTGTTACGAGTTAGGAATAGGTTATAATATTATTTGTACAAAAAATAGAGATTATTTTTAAAAGAGTCGGCACTCAAAGAAAGTCTAAACTCGGATACTGAGCCAGTAATAAAATGTAAAAAAGAGAAGAAACACATGAGAACGAGTTATGCAGCAACTATCCACGATGGTAACGAGATGATAAACGGTCAGAAAGTGCGATAATAGGGCACAAAACTGACAGGCTACTGAGACATTTAGCGACCCGAGACCTAGCTCTGACACATCTCCAGTGCGCAAACCAACAGCCTTCCAACTTCGAAGCTTCATGGTCACGTAGGACCTAAGAGCGGAAGGTGAGTACAGCAGAAATGTGCGAGACATATTCCGGGCTTTGTTCCGCTCAGATTTGTAATGGGTGAGCTTGTCAGGAGTGGGGTACTTCTTGTACTGGATGTGAGAGTCTCGCTTGTGCTTTAACTGAATTCTTAGTGCCGGAGTGAGCCTAGCTGTGAGTTATTGGCATCCTTCTAAAATGTTATGAATTTCATATACAAAAGTAACTATTACTTGCCGGTAAAGGGTTAATAGTGCTTGCATGTGAAGGATATGTGTGTGTTGTAACCGCCAATCAAGATCATTTTCTGCACAAAGTCTCAAGTCAATTAATTATTGTTTCGTTTCGGGGGGGTGGGGGGGGGGGGGGGTGGGGGGTCATAACTAAACTTTTTCGTTTCGTGAAAAATATCGATAATTACGGATGGCCCCTAAATGAATAGGAATGTAAACGATATACCTGTGAAAACACAACCATTAATGCTACTAACACAACCTGTGACTACAATAATCATGAGCACAACCCCAAACAATTTCTTGCAGTTTACTTTCGTAGAGTTTGCAAAATTGTGTTCCTCAAAACAACTTGCAGCTTTCTTCAAAAATATCCTCAACCTTGGTTCTGTCCTAGATCGTATATACATGCATTCATTGTTTCTTCTCATCATTATGGAGCAGCTTATGCGAAGGCTAGCCAAGCGTGCTTGGCGATGCCAAAGCGGAAAAGCCTATAATAATAATAATTAGGGGTGAAACGAAAGTCTCAAATTCCCATTCGAACCTTCTATAATTGAAACGAACGATGGTGTCGAAGGATACTTTTCAACATGGTCACGGAAACGCTCAAAAACCTTAAAAATAAAAGGGGGCAAAAATCAGAACCCAATGCTTACATTGTATGTGCAATTTGTTTCTGAATCTGGTGGTGTGCTGGTATCAATGTATCCATTCCAGTTAAGAAAATACTTTGGCCCAGCTCACCACTATAGATAGAGGCAAGGTTTTAACATACTCTTGATAGAGGCCATACCTAATATCTATTTGTGAGTCCATTGTCCATATTTCTGACAGTTTAGATCAGTGTACTTGGGATCGTGTACAGACTTGCTAGCCTTGGCCTTTTTGACACAAAGCGACAATAGATCACTGCTCTAGTGTACAACCAGTTGCGTGCTTGAACAATACCAAAATGGACGTTTCTCTTCCAACAACAAGGCCTCGAATTTACCAAGATGGACTTACTGAACACAGCATTCACTGGATCACATGCACTAACGACAGTTAACTTTTGTCCCAATGCAGTCCACAGACTTCTAGCTCGTCTTGAATTCCTCAAAAAGGCGACTGGACCCGACGGTGTTTCCGCTCCTGTCTTGAATGAATGCGCCAGGGAAATTGTAAAGACGCTATCTCAGCCCTTTGCTTCCAACACGGAGTTCTACCTGGAAAAGTCTTCCACAACCGGAGTCAGATTCAGGTCATAAAGGATGGGGAGGGTACATGAGATCAATTAGCGAAATGCCAAATCCCGAAATCACATTTACCACATCTCAAAAGAACAGAACTACGCCAAAAAACGCCTTTTACGGTACATGCACACCATGACTTACAGGGTTTGTAATTTGGTTGTGGTGTTGAACAGCCCGGCAGGTAGGTGAACAAGTTGATTACCTTTCAAATCTCTGGGAGAACAAAGTATAATTTTGATAGGATGTATATCACTTCCTGAAAGAATTTCGTATTACTCTATTTGGCGTCTCAGAGGAGAAAGACAACCTGTTACGAGTTATGACTAGGGATTATTTTTTTATATACAAAAGACACAAAGGCACACAATGAAAATCTTGGCAAATTAATTCCGTTGTGACTCAGAGTTTCATGGCTGAACCAATCATCCGACAAAGATAATGGAATAGGAGGCAGCGCTGGTATATCTAAGTGGAGAGAGCTGTGATAATACGATAGCGAGAGGAGTAATCGCGTGAATGTATACAGGGACAGGCTATTTCAGAGGCAGATGCAGTAGGCGCAGGTCTAGCACTAACAAGTATGCGCTTTATCTCGCTCACACACCACACACACACACACACATACTAACACGCACACACATAGTAACACGCACACACATACACACATACACGCACACACTAACACACACACACATACACCCACCCACAACACCCTAACTTGCACACGGGCGCACGCACACACAGACACCCACCCACCCACAACACCCTAACTCGCACACGCACAAACACATGCACACACGCATATACACACACATATGGACACATGTCCACACGCATACACAGACATCTGCGGTCGTATGACAAATCTAAGCGCACACAAACTCCTGCAATCACGCGTCAAGAACCCGCAGCGGTCATAGCTGTCTATGTTATAGGGGTGGCCAGCAAAAACATTCACGCGATTACTCCTCTCGCTATCGTATTATCACTAGGGGTGAAACGAGTATCTATTTTGGCCAACCGATCACTCGTTCATAATATTCGATCGAGTATCCGATTATTTCGAGTATTTTATCAAAATTCAAAAGCGCTAGATTTGCAAGTTCTCAACCAATTTGGAAGAAATTGTCTGTGAACATAGAACAAAAGTCGCCAACGTCTTGTACAGCGTGTAAAGTAACGATTTTCATCAGTACTTTCATACCTCAGAACGTTACTTGCCGTGGTGATCGCATCGTCGAAGTCTTAAAATACTGACTCAAAGCCATGCATAACGCATGCATACCAGTGGACCAGCGGTACAACAAAAGTTATAAAAAATACAATGCCAATCCTTCAAAAAAAAAAAAAAAAAAAAAAAAAAAAAAAACGATCGAGTGCAAAATTTCGAATACTCGCTCGTTTGAAATTTTCGATCGAATACTCGAATATTCGAACTAATCGTTTCACCCCTAATTATCACACCTCTCTCCACTTAGATATACCAGCGCTGCCTCCTATTCCATTATCGTTGTCTGATGATTGGTTCAGCCATGAAACTCTGAGTCCCAAGGGAATTAATTTGCCAAGGTTTTCATTGTGTGCCTTTGTGTACGCCGCTCTGCCGGAATCAGGCATTGAGCACTCTTGCAGAACCAAAGCATATTGCCTCTGTATTAATTTATTGTCTCTGTAATTTGAAACTCGGGGATTGAGCTAATAATAAAAGTAGAAAGGAAAAGGACATATGGAAACGAGTTAAGAGTTACTCTCCACCACTGTAACTAGATACTATATACAGTCAGAAAGTGCAACAACTAGGCACAAAACTGACAGAGTACTGAGACATTCGACGCCCTGACACCTGGAAGGCTGTCGGTTAGCGCTACGAAGATGTGTTGGAGCTAGGAAGCTAATAATAATAATAATACTTGGTCCGCGTCAGCGATATTGTCGCTTATCTTTCAAAAATTTAAACTTGGACTTTAGACAACAATGAATGCACTGAAAGCGATATAACTTGGTACGAAGGAAGGTAAGACATATAATAACAAGTAGCCAGAAGGAATTTATTGTCCATAGACGGGTTCATGCTGTTTTTAGTCCTCCTCGTCGCTGCTCTCCGCGCTAGCGCTGTCTGCGCTGCTGACGAGTCCGTTCCGACCGACTCCAAAGCTTTTGCCAGCTCATCACGCTTCTTCTCGGCTGCCTTGATGGTGTCTAAAGAGAATGCTCGATCGTGACGATCGCCTGCTCTAGAGGACTTCGCGTGGGCAGCGCGACTGCCTGTGTGGTGCGAATACGAGTTGTCGCCGTCCGTTGCGAGAATTCCCTTGAACGACGCGTACAGTACACGCCAAACCGATTCCATCTTGTCGACTGGATACGCATGCCACGCATCTTGTACAGCTTGCAGTAAGTCGAACACATTTTTCTTCGCGACCATCTCCACGTCTTTCTGTAGGCTCGCGAAGAACGCCAGATCGTTCGTGTTGAGATCGGGAGATTGCGCAGGCTGCGTGATCACTTTGATTTTCACGCCCTGTTTGCTCGAGTGCTGGGCCCAGTGGCGCTCGTTTACGGCTGCGGTGTGGGGGCGAGCACCGTCGTGCTGGTAGATGACAGTTTGCCCAGCTTCAGGTTTGCCAGAGCCGCTGCGAAACCACCACATCTTCTTGCGAATACTGTCCAAGACGCCATCCTTACGCAACATCACCTTTCTGTACTCCACGGCATTCACGTTCACAGTCTCGAGAACAAGCGTCTCTCCAGCTACTGTGCCAGTACGCGAGTCACTGCGCTTCGCCGTGCGCTGTAGGGTGAATGGCCACAGTCCAATCTTACCGTCGAAGTTGTACTCGGGGCGCGGGCGAGCTGTCACACAGAGAAACATCACCTTAGGCATGCGCGATTTGTGGAAGATCTTTGGGTCCGCTGGCATAGACACTGCGCTTGTAGCTCCGTCTTGCTTTGGGAAGACTCGACAAATCGTGCCATCTCGCATCAAATAATACCATTTCTCGTCCCCGTGGCACATGTTCAAATTGTCCACAAACTTTCTCCTTCCCCTGTTGTATTGGTCGATGGCCCACGATAGTCTGTTGAGGCGATGGCGAACAGTGAGCTTGGGCTTGATATATCTCCGTCTTCTCACAGCACCAAGCGCCTGACACCACCGTCTGACGGACGGTTCTGAGCATGGATATCCAGCTTCAGTTAGCTCCCCTGCCAGCTTCTTGCACGACAGTCTCCCCCACGCCTTGTCGTTGATCTCGACCATTTTCTTGGCCAGCTCAGGAGTCAACTTGAGATTGAAGCCACCGCAAAGGCTGGCGCGTCGACGAGTCATTCTGATATTTCCCTTGGTCGCAGTGTCTTGCGCCTGCTTCTTGTAATTTTCCACGATGCGCTGGACACTCCGAGCGTTCAGCTGCAGGTGAGGAAACTGAGATTTCAACTTGGCGATCGACCCCCGAGGTAAGCGATCTCGGCCTTTTGCAAGGGCCATGTACGCTGTGACAATGCGCCATCGATCCGGCGTTTTGATTTCTGCTCCTCGCTTGCGTGGCGTCGCTTGTTTCACTTGTGTTGCTGGTGTCACACCACCAGCAGCTATCTTCGCAACTACTCTCTTCAGCCGTGGAGCTTTCCTCCCTGGTGTTCTTGTGCTGTTGTTAGTTGGTCTAGCCATGATTGCAACAGGAAGAAGAATGGAACTAATTCAGAGGAATCATGCTTTTTATTGTGCATCGCGCTCTCTTGACTGTACTGTGTGACAAGATGTTCTATTTTGATGCGTCGTGGTATCGATCAGAACCACCCCCACTTGTTCTCGAAATTCCACTCAATATCTAGCTAGACCTTTCAAGTAGTGGTAAACCAACTTACAAACCGAATGTGGGAGGAAATGGGCTGTCAAGTGAGCATTGGCGACATAAAAAAGAAGCTGGTAGATAAGCGACAATATCGCTGACGCGGACCAAGTAATAATTTGAAACTTGGGTATTGAGCCAATAATAAAAGTAGAAAGGAAAAGGACATATGGAAACGAGTTAAGAGTAACTCTCCACCACTGTAACTAGATACTATATACAGTCAGAAAGTGCAACAACTAAGCACAAAACTGACGGAGTACTGAGACATTTGACGTCCTGACACCTGGCTTCAACCCTCTTTTGGTCTTTCCATAACCTTGAACCTTCCAAGTTGGAAGGCTGTCGGTTGGAGTTACTCTTAACTCGCTTCCATATGTCCTTTTCCTTTCTACTTTAATAATAATAAGGCCAAAACAAATAATGACCTTGTTTCCGGTCGCCGGACCGGGCCACTTTTTCCCAAATTCTGAAACTTTTTTTGATCCCAAATGTATACAAACGATGGCAATGCCATGTATGCGAGTGCACTCAACGAGTCATAACTCAGTCAAATCTCAACCGAATTCCACAATCGAAACACCTACAAGGTAGCAGAGATTCTCAGATATCGGCTCGAAAACCTCCGGGGTCGATACGAGCTAGAATAACAGAGCTGGAAGGACTCGAACTGTTTGCTTGATTTCTCAGGATGTACGAAAACAGGAATACACCATAAGCTCTACAAGAACAGTTAGTCAGTCAACTTTGATATTGATCCTTGCCATGATATATGTAAAATGTACACAGTCTCCAGTATTATCACAGTCTCCTCTATAAGCACGGGTGCGAAGTGGGTTGAAAAAACATAAGTACCGTGTTTATAAGGGAGATAATAATGGTAACGGACACGACACAGTACAGAGAAGAGGGAATCATCATACACACTCAAACAATCGGGACGAGATAACAAAATTCAATGTAAGTCAACAGCTGACTTCTTACGAATCTCACCCTCATCAGCTCCATCACCTTCGCTGCCACCTGACTCCTCCTCGTCCGTTTTATCACCATCACCACCAGCCGTCTTGTCGCCATCCGCCGACTCGTCATCATCCGCCTCGTCATCATCTGTATCTTCGTCATCCGCCGCATCATCACTCAGCTCATATTCACCACCAGTCAGTCGTCTGGTACCATCCGTGTTCTCCTTCCTACATCTGTCCCATCCCACTGTCCTTAGTTCATCCCTGTCTCGAGATTGTGTTCCGTTTAGCTTCTGGCTTCTGTTCTCCTTCGATGCTCCGCGTGGGCCTTGGCCATTCCTACCATATTCTACGGTTGAATAATGTGCGGTCGACCTCCGTGGTCTCCGGACCGCGAAATTATCAATCATTTGATTGACGATGACGCGAAAATACAAATAACAATAATAAGTAAAACAACAAGCCCTTTTCTTACAAATCATCGCCGAGGTCGCAACCACTACTTCCTACTAACAATAATTTATGATTTTAAATAGTTTTACTCGGTTAAGGAGCCAATTTAATAATTGTGGTAACAGAGGAGAGGACAACATGTAACGCGTTATGACAAACAGTCCACCAACGTGACCAGATCACATGCAGGCAGCGAGTGCGACAAAATAGCACAAAACCTACAAGGAGTACGGAGACATTCAGCAACCTGACACCTAGCTCGAACACTTCTCCAAGGCGCAAGCCATCAAATTTCCAACTTGAAAGGCTCAGGTTCGGACATGCCCAAGAGGGTAGGAAAGCATATTTTTGTTTGATAGAATGACTCCTCCATTCTACTATACAGTCATACTACAGTATTTCCACAGATAGTAGGCTGGTCTACCATTTTTTCAAACTCTCGTCATAACCCGGACTTGTAATTGAGGACGGTCTTGTATTCGAGGACGGTCTTTTCTTCTTTCAAACCAGTTTGACCCCGGTCTTCTATTTTTCGCCACACAGTTTTACCCCTGTTCTTCCATTTTCTTCTACACAGTTTGACCACTGTCTTCTATTTTTCCCACAGTTTGAGCACTGTCGTAAGACTCATTTAGTAGGCCCGGTCTTTCAATATGAGACGGTCTTGTATTTTTTCAATCACCCCCTGCCCCGGGCTTGTATTCAAGGAAGGCGTTGTTTACAGCAACCTGACACCTAGCTTGAACACTTCTCCAAGGCGCAAGCCAACCACGTTCCAACTTGGAAGGCTCAGGTTCGGAAAGGTCACAAGGGAAGGAAAGTATATTTTTGTAGGATAGAATGACTCCACACTCATTTATTCCATACAGTCATACTAACTTGTACACCCTTGAGAAATGCCTCAACTTCAAAACCTACGTACAGTCAACTTTGCTAATAACCACTGCGGACATAACGACAATTCGCGAATAACGACATAATTTTCATGCCCAGAGCAAAGTCCTATCCAACTGCAACACATAATGAGACTTCAGGTATAACGACACTTCGCGAATAAGAACACTTTTCTGATGCCGAGCCGAGTGTCGTTATAAGCGAAGTTGACTGTATCTCAGTTTCTCAGCCTGAGTGACTTTTACCGGAATGAAAGTGAAAGAAACCCCATGACAGTCACATCGCCGATGGTGGGTACAGCAAAGGGTTATATGTTCAAAGATCTTCCATGGTGTTGGTAATCACAACCGGCTTATTCAGCTGAGAAACCAGATTTGTGGCAAGCAACAACTTTGGCCACCCACAACATGCCTTTTGCAAAGAAGCCGCTCGTGGCAACCTGCAGTGGCCATGTTCTTCCTTAGCAGACGGATGGTCATTCGTAGCTGCCAACATACAACTATTCTTATACAAGGCTTCTCTTGGTTCTGCACGGGTTTCGGTACAGGGTGGATAAAGAACCACTTTTGCCCTTACGTTCGTTGTGACCACCACGTGAGCGGAATCAGATACCGGTCATAAACGGTTGGGAAGGGTGCCTCAGATTAACCAACGCGATGCCATCAGGCATTGGCTGATAATGCTGGAAAAGGTGCCAGATTCTGATCGAAAAGCAGTGAGATTGGCAGACCCATACAAACCGTATGGCGGGCAATTCCTCGAATTCTGCTCCATTTCTTTATCCACATACCAAACACAAATGAAACTTACCAGAAATGGTACCGATTTCTGCCTATTCTTCTGCCGGCATTATCCGCATATGCTAGATGCCACATAACGAAATCCCATTCGCCACATCCTAAAAGAACAGAACTAACGCTACGCCCTAAAAACGCCTTTTTACGGTACATGCACAACATGACTTACAGGGATTCTAATTCGGTTGTCGCGTTGAACAGCCCGGCAGGTAGGTGATCAAGTTTATTATCCCAGAAATATCTGGGAGAACAAAGTAGATTTTTGATAGGATGTATATCACTTCCTGGAAAAATACTATCTATACTGTGCTATATACATTGGCCACATCTCAAAATAACAGAACTACGCAAAAATCTCTTTTCCGATATATGCACGCCATGACTTGGATAATACTTATTTACATTGTACGTGAAGTGTGTGTGTTCCAGTGAGGTCTACATCCCAACCACCGGTGTAGATTCACACAAAGTGTGAGGCACAAAGTCTAAAGAAATTATTGAATGGTCTCTGCCGGGATGACGACTCCACCATAGCTCTTTGGTTAAAGCATCGCTGGCTACTAGCAAGGATCCTTGGTTCGAGTTCGGGTGGTGACAGTCAATTTTTTCACTGTCCCCGTTTGTGTCTTTCCCTCAAATTAGTGAATTTTGTATAGCAGTAAAACAATAAATGTAAAAAAGAGAAGAAAAACATGAGAACGAGTTATGCAGCAACTTACCACGACTGTAAATAGATGATAAACGGTCAGAAAGTGTGACAATAGGGCACAATACTGACAGGCTACTGAGACATTCAGCGAAAAGAGACGTAGTTTTAACACATCTCCAGTGCGCAAACCGACAGCCTTCCAACTTGGAAGGTTCATGGTTACTTAGGACCAAAGAGGGATATTGGTGTCCGGTTTTGTACAATTCGTTTTCGCCCTTTCTTTACCTCTGATATTGTTGACACACCCAAGTTGGGTGGTGTGTTGCTTTGCTGCTTCGAATTGTAGTCAGACCGCATTGTCATGACAAAATAACTGGTCTCGTCATCGTCCTGTAACATTCGGCATTCTTTCTTGCCGCGGGACTTAGCTTCTGCACATTTTCGCTGTGCTCACCTTCTTCTCTTCGGTCCTATGTAACCATGAACCTTCCAAGTTTGAAGGCTGTTAGTTTGCGCACCGATGTGTTAGAGCTAGGTCTCGGGTCGCTGAATGTCTCAGTAGCCTGTTAGTTTTGTGCCCTAAAATCGCATTTTCTGACCGTTTATAATTTTGTTACAGTCATGGAAAGTGGCTGCATAACTCGTTCTCATGTGTTTCTTCTCTTTTTTACATTTACGACTGGCTCAGTATCAGGGCATAAAACAATAAGTTTTTAAATATGTTTACTTCAAGTACTCGGATAGTGAGTCAATAAATTTATGGTAAAGGAGGAGAGGACAACATGTTACGAGTTGTCCACCAACGTGACCAGATCACATGAAGGCAGCGAGAGCGACACAATGGCACAAAACTCACAAGAAGTACTGAGACATTCAGCAACCTAAACCTAGCTCGAACACTTCTCCAAGGCACAAGCCAACACACTTCCAACTTGAAAGGCTCAGGTTCGGACATGACCAGGAGGGTAGGAAAGCATATTTTCGTAGGATAGAATTACCCCACCATTCTTCTATACAGTCATACTAACTTGTACACCCTTTAGAAACACCTCAACTTAAAAACCCATGTATGTGTTTACCGCTGCCTGCATGGACTTGCTAGTCCTCTTCTGCGAGATCGCTTTACTTCTGCTCTTGTTCTGCCCCCCCCCCCCCGACACCTGATATGGCTTCAGTGCGATCTCTTATTTACGCGTTGACAGATGTTAAAGGGGAACTGTCACCAACAATTTTCTTTGTCTTATCTTGTAGTTCTTTGGCTCCTGATCACAATGGTGTTATTCTTTTTTCTCTGCGATGACTGGAAGTGGGTGAAAATTTGAAAAGAAGGTCCCCAAAATTGTCCCGAAGTAGCGAGTGACGTCACGCCGGACTTGACCTCCACATGTACATTCATCGTCAAAAACGAAGTCCAGCCCGTGTGCTGGTCGAACGAGCAAACTGTTCGATGTACGGTGCATGCTTGCCTTCTGAACTCGGGTACTGATGTGTACGTTGTACACAATGAGAACTCCAAAAAGGGACAAAACAAACACAAGTCGACAGCAGTTTGTCGCACTGGTACTTCCTCCACGAAGCTCCAGCTCTTTGTTTTCGTTGTGATTTCGAAGGATTGGAAGGACGTTTGTCTGCTGTTAGTGTGACACATATACCTCGTACTTGGAAATTACGTCGTTGTATCGAAGGTGGCGGTGTTGCCCACCCGGCTCTGAAATGAAAGGCGTTGGAGTTTGTCATCTGCATCTTCAGCAACATCGCCAGCTAAGATGCCTTCACATAGGTACATTGTGTTCCTTTGGGGCTCGGGTTGGTGGTGTTATCGCCGGCGGGAGGAGTACTGTTTTCTGCATACGCGCTCATCATCGTGTTGTTCCTCACACGAAAAGTTCAAAACAACGACGTACTTCCGTGCTCACAAAATAAAACTTAGATCCTCGCGGAAGAAGTCAAAAAGGTGAAAGCTCAGCTGCTTTTTATTGTGATTTGGCTGTGTACCTGCACGTGGGTCTCTGCCTCTTTGGCATTCTCCTTCGGTATGACGTACCCATCTGTGTTAGAGTTCAAAAGGCACACGTGCACCGTACATCGGAACAGCTAGCTCGATTGACCAGCTTCGTTTTTGACGACGAATGTACGCGTCGGGGTCAAGTCCGGAATGACGTCAATCGGTACTTCGGGACAATTTTGGGCACATACTTTTCAAGTTTTTACCCACTTCCAGTCATCGCAGAGAAAAACAGACCATCATGATCAGGAGCCAAGGAACTACAAGATAAGACAAAGAATTTGTTTGGTGACAGTTTCCCTTTAATTAAAGGTTGCGAGAGGGCCACAAGTTATGAGAAATCGGAGGCTTTCCCACGTTTCTCTTCCAACAAATGCAGTGTACAATGCCTCGATCTTACTACGATGGACTTACTGGACACAGCGTTCACTTGCGCACCTGCACTAAAGACAGTTCACTTTTGTCCCAATGCAGTCCATCGGCTTCTACCTCGTCTTGGTGACTCAAAGGCGACTGGACCCGACGGTATTTCCGCTCCTGTCTTGAAGGAATGCCTTAGGGAACTTGTAAAGACACTATCTCAGCTCTTTGCTTCCAACAAAGAATCCAGCCACGAAATTCCACTTGGAAAAGTCCTCCACGAACGGGGTCAGATTCGAGTCGTAAAGGGTTGAGGAGGGTACATCAGATCAATCAACGAGATGCCAAATCCCGAAATCGCATTGGCCACATCTCAAAAGACAGAACTACGGAAAAAAATGTTTTTTTTTTCCAAAACATGCACACCACGACTTACATGACCTTTATTCTGGTTGTGGCGTCGAACAGCCCGGCAGGTAGGTAAAGCAATTGAACACGGCTCAAATATCTGGGAGAACAAAGTAGAAATTGGATAAGATTTTTATTATTATTATATTATTTATTTGAGGGATGACCCAGAGGCAGGTAGCCATTTGAGGCGTTCTCCACTGGTGCGTTATTGAATAGGTAGCATAACAGGGGGGGGGGGGGGTAGAATAAATTAGCCAGGCACATGGAATGAGACAATAAAACTTCAAAGGAAAGCGTGATGTGCAATTACTGCTGAGGTGTAGGAATGCCAGTGGTTTTATGGGCATGCTCATGTGTATATAGATGTAATTTCTTCTTAAATTCCTGCAGGAAATAGACAGTTCAGAAGTTCTAAAAAGGAACATAGACTTTGATAAAGATTCGTATTTAGGTAAAATGATTTGAGCCAGCGCAAGCGTAAAGGGACGTTATCCCGCTGCACGTGATTTTGAGAAAATTGCACTTCAAGTGAATCAGCTGATTTCCGGCTGTCACGTTCGGATCGAACTTGAAACTGTGCGTTTTTCTGTGGTTATGTGTGTGATCCGTGATTTCTTTGGAGCAAATTCACTGCGTCGATAGGAGAGTCAACATCCTACAGCTCCTGTAGAAGAAAACCCTGTCTGAATCGACCCACATACCACGCATTGGCGATCAAAAATCGAATTATCGAGAGCGCAACCTCCGCTGCATGCGCAGCATGCGCGAGTCTGAAAGGTAAAGGAACTTGCTTTCCGCGCAGCTGCCTTCCTCCCTTCGCTTTCCCCTGAGTCATCGGGTTTGGCGTAGCTACTCACCATGAGCTACCGTAAACGTTTCACCAGCAACGAAGCGCTGGAATCTCTCCTGGCCTGAGAGAAGATGAGGCTGAATTGTTTGGTGATAGAAATATTATCAACACCTATGAACAAACAATTAGTGTATATAACTGCTCCTTGCCAGACTTCGACTTCATATTGCATCCTGATAATGGCAATTTGCCGAAACGTTGAAAATGATTCTGTGAAATGAAATGAGTTGTGAATTTGCAGTTTGCAGGGAAGGAGCATGTGTGCTCACCAATTCTCTTCGAGTTATGAAGCTGCAGAATGCCTCACCGCTACTTCGTTATATTTTGCAGGTCTTGAAGTTGTTCATATGTTGCTCAGACGAGTACGATCTGATTCTTCGTCAAGGTGAGACATGTCGCAGTCGATCCACGTCGGTCCCGTGGAGAACCGGCCACATTTGATTATGCTCAGAGAATGCGTTGAGCGAGACATTATTTGGAATTGGAAACGTACTTGTTTCTTTGTTCAGCATACTAGAAAACTTAAAACTTTAGCGGAAGATGGCAAAAACACATATTTAGAATTGACCATTCTGACCTCTCAATTAGATATAAGATGTAGATGTTAAGGGTTTTGCTGCCTACTGATGTCTATGTCTCTTTAGAACCAAATTTTATGACACTAGATCAATTTTTGAAAATACCATTTTTGCGCCTGAAAATGGTAGAAATCCAGGTGGTTTTCGGTAGTCCTCAAAGGGTTAATACTCTTAAGCGTGCTACCGTCCTGGACATGAAAATCCGGTCGGTGTTCAAGCGACCCATGGGCGATGGCCATGCAGCCATGAGTACGCACACCGTGCACACATTCATTTCTGCGCTGCGCTGCAGCGCCGCTGGTCCATTTTTGGATTGTGAACGTGAACTACGGATTTGGTGTGAATTTTGGCACGTGTCAATGCATATTGCTGGAAGTGACTATACCCTTGCCCGGTACCAGTGAACTTTCCACCATTGCAAGAAAACACACAATACACCCAGCAGAAGAAAAAGAGTGAGGGAAAGACACAGTTGTGTTATGATTTTTTTTTGCAGTAGCTGGGAAGCTAACTAGTATCTGGTGTGCCCACCATTATTTGTGATGACTTCCTGCCGACGGTTTGGCATGGATGTTGCGAAACTTGCCACATCAGCAGGCTGCAGCGCTCCCCAATCCAGATCCACGGCCTTTCGCAGCTCATCCGTAGTTTGGCAGTTGTGTGCTACCAGTCGTCGTTTCAGCAAGCTCCAAATGTTCTCGATCGGGTTTAGGTCTGGTGAACGAGCAGGTTGAAACGCAATGATCGGCATGCCGTTGTCGAGGATGTGCTGCTGCGCGTTAGGTGACAGAGACACAGTGCCGAGGACGTGCACCCTCGCCGGATGCTGTGCCTGCTCAGCAACAGACACAGAATCGCGAGGAAACCAGAACATGATCCGACCGTCGGGGCCGGCAGCAAAACAAGCTTCGTCGGCGGATACTGTCCAGTCGAAGGCATGGCCTTCCACATGACGACTCATCACCTCCACCAAACCCACTGCGAAGAAGAGAGTCCTGTTTGTTGGAAACTTGATGCATGCAATTACTGCAGACCAGCTGAAGGAGTTCATTGCAGCGAGGGCAGGTGAGGCTGACCACAACGTCCAAGTGTTTGACATAAATATAAATATTTTTAGTCCTCCACTGCGCGTATTGTTGCCAGTGCAGCGGACGAATTGTTTCTCATCAACAAGCTCTTCTGGCCCAGGGCTCTGTACACAAGAGAGTAAAACTTCGATAAGCACACCCATTCTGATGCCCGTGGAGATCAACAACCAGCGCAGAGGGGAAGCTTTGCGAAAACGAATTGTACTAGGCGAACGCCAAACTCCTACTGTACTCCTAATGCATGAAATTGTGATAGACTAGTTGACTACAAAACAAGTTGTTTCACACGACGTACGTTTCGCCTTATGGTTCATGACAGCTCATCAGGTGTGCAATTTGAAACTCGGGTATTGCGCCAATAATAAATGTACAAAGGACGAAGGACATATGGAAACGAGTTAAGAGTAACTCTGCACCACTGTAAATAGACACTAATTCGTTTTCGCAAAGCATCCCCCTTCTGTATTAATCTTCGATATTTCTCAGCCACCCAAGCTGAGTGGTGTGCTGCTTTGCTGCTTCGAATTGAAGTGAGACCGCTTTGTCAAATATCCTACTGGTCTCGTCATCGTCCAGTAACAAACGACACTCTTTGTTCCGTTGGGACTGTAGCTTGTGCTCATTTTCGTCGCACTTATCTTCCCCTCTTTGTCCTCTCCTTAACCTTGAAACTTTCGAGTTGGAACGCTACGGAGATGTGTTGAAGCTAGATGACAGGACGTCGAATGTCTCAGTACTCTGTCGGTTTTGTGCCTAGTTGTTGCACTTATAAATACAGCCTCTGTGCTACGCGTACGAGTCCACAATGGAGGAAACAGTTCCGCACGGAGATTGACTAAATTAGACGTTATAGTTACGGGGAGGTCGGAATCCGCGAGCGGAAAAAAAAATCATAATAGTTCTACCCCAAACCTGCGCAGAAGGATGCTCAAATGACTAGTTTTTTATATTTAGGAATGAGCTACCTTAAAGGTTGCGAGAGGGCCGCAAGTTATGAGAACTCGGAGACTCTCACGTTTCTCTTCCAACAAATGCAGTGTACAAGGCCTCGAACTTACTACGATGGACTTACTGAACACAGCATTCACTGGCTCACATGCACTAACGACAGTTCACTTTTGTCCCAGTGCAGTCCACCTGCTTCTACAGCCCATTCATCAGAAATTGGCCCGCTGGTTTTGGAAGTCGGATTTGGGCCGAATTGAGGATCAAAAACCCACTTTAAATCTCAGAAATCTGGTTTTGGATCTGCTTTTCCATACATTTTGCCATTGCATACCTGTCCTAATATTGTAAAACCTGGCTGAATTTCTATTTCTCTGTTCTTGGACTTTTCTGGCCTCAAATGTGGCAAGGATTAATTGCACGGGTCACACAATGCAGGATGTACTGTTGTTTTCACGATATGTACAACTATGTGAGAGAGACACCAAAAAGTTAGGGTGCCAGTTTCCAATGAATGGACTGTAGCTCGTCTTGAATTCCTCAAAGGCGACTGGACCCGACGGTGTTTCCGCTCCTGTCTTGAAGGAATGCGCCAGGGAACTTGTAAAGACGCTATCTCAGCTCTTTGCTTCCAACACGGAGTTCCACCTGGAAAAGTCTTCCACGACCAGCGTCAGATTCAGGTCATAAAGGGTGGGGGACGGTACATAAGATCAATCCCGAAATCCCATTTGCCACATCTCAAAAGAAGAGAACTACGCCAAAAATGCCGTTTTACGATACATGCACAACAAGACTTACAGGTTTTCTAATTTGGTTGTTGTATTGAACAGCCCCACTGGTAGGTGAAAAAATGGATTATCTTCCAAATCTCTGGGAGAACAAAGTAGAATTTTGATAGGATGTATATCAGTTTCTGGAAGAATTTCTTATTACTCTATTTTGCGTGCTAGTTTGTAGGTGGAGTGTGTGGGTTACAGTGAGGGCTGCGTGCCACCCGCCTGTGTAGATTCAGACAAAGTGTAAGTTACAAAATGTGAAGAAAATGTAGAACTGTTACTGATTGGATGACGACTACACCATAGCTAAGTGGTTACAGCATCACTGGCTACAAGCAAGGGTCCCTGGATCGAGTCCTTGAGGTGCCAGTCAATTTTTTCTTCACACTGTTCCCCTTTGTGTCTTACCCTCGAATTAGTGAACTCTATATAAGCAGGTATATAAGCAGGGTGGCCAAGGACGTTTTGGGATACGTCAACCATAGCAGGCACCAGAAACCAGATCTTGCGATACAAGAGCTATCACTCAAGCAAAAGCATATTCGTCTGAGTATCAGCAACTCCACCAACCTAGCAGTCAAGGTCAATCTGAAAAGACAGCGAAATGACCTTCAACACACCATCAGAGACAAGTGTTGAGCCAATGCTGAGGCGCTTCTGGAGGCCAAAGCAGCAGAGATTGAGAGGTTGAAGGACGGGGCATGCATGTTTAAGGCTGTGCACCTCATGAGACGACGAAATGCCCAGAAACCGGCTGTGGCGAACGAGACTGGACGGTTTGCTGGCAGCGATGGTCAAGCGGCATCTGTCGTCAGAAGTCACTTCATGAAGCCGTTTCTTTCAGTTGCATTCGGGTAAAAGTCAGTTAGGCTGAGAATTGTTCAAGGAAAAGTTCGCAACACACCGTCGCCAGTATAAAACATTAGAAAACTGTTAGAAACTGGAAAGCAGCCGACTCGTGTAGACGGATTGTGAACGCGAGAATCTAATCCTGAATTAGAAAAAATAATCCCGCTCAAGTAACATGCCTCTGTTCTTGCACCGAATCTCACCAGCATTATCAATATGTCTCTTAGAACTGGACAGGTTCCGCCAACCTTCAAAGTGTCACATGTCAGTCCATTATGTGGCGACCCAACCCTGCCCCAGAACTATCGTCCAGTGTCTTTCCTCCCCATTATCTCTTAATTGGCTGGCCAAAAGTCCTATATATAGGATTTGAAAATGTGTGCCTTTTATGCCGTTGTTATTAGTCATCACTACCAATAATAACGGCATAATGGTTTTCATGGAAGTTGTAAATATGTTTGAGGCATGAATGTTTGCATTTTAGATTCATAGGGGGATAATATTTCTGATGAATACCCATTTTCAGCAAGAATTGGAAATTTTAGCATAATTTTTCAGCTGCTGTCATGGAAAGGACTGAAGCAGTGAATGTGCAGAAGAACATTGCAGGTGTGGCACGGGGTGGTTTCATGATGACATATCGCGTATGCCGTCATGAAACTACCAGTTTTAAGGATAAAACAAGGTCCAATAAAATCTCAAATCCTATATGTAGGATTCGAAAAATAGGGCACAGGCCTTAGTAATATTGGGCAAGGAGATGAGCCTGAGATGTTAGTGTTTGAAAAAATTATCTTATTCAACTCTCGATATCTACTAAGACCTAGCAAGGAAGAATTGGTCACATACTTTTTGCTATTCTCATGCCACACTCATTTTGAGTTGAAAAATATGACCAAAATCCTATATATAGGATTTAGAACATTAAGAGATATCCTGTATTCTGGAGACAATGGTTAAGAGACAGCTCACAGCCTATCTGGAGGCACACCAGCAATTGCCCGACAATTTGCTTATAGCAAGTAACATTCGACTGAGGATGCACTTGTGTTAGCTGTTAATCTATGGTCCACCGCTAGATTCAAACGAGAGTTCACTGGGCTCCTTGATATTTCAAAAGCTTTCGACCGTGTTAAGCATGAACGTCTAGTTACAGTTTTGTTTCCCTTGGTATAGCTGGACCTGCCTGGAATGGTTTGCTGACTACATCTTAGGGTGTTTCCAGAGTGTCAAAGTTCTGGACACTGTTAGTGAATCCGTTAGTTGCTCCCATGGTGTTCCCCAAGGTAGCACCCTTGGGCCACTGCTTTTTGTGCTCTACACTAGTGAACTCCACACCGTACTGCCACCGTCTGTATGTTGCGGATTTCTGTTCGACTAAGATTTACGCATGTTGTTGTATTTGGTTCTTGTCTGGTGGAGTCCAGTGTCTGATGTCATATAATTATGGTCTAAGTGTACGCGCGAGTATGGTATGGTGTTTTTTCGTTGTCTTTTTCTCGAGTCTTGTTTTCGTTTTTCTCCTCCTGCGCCCTTGCCGTTTATTATTGAGAATTGAATACTAGTATTGAAGTTAACTGAACGGTTCGTTCCTGTGTGGCGGGGGCCAGGAAGAGAACAATTTACTATTAATTTTTATGTACAGCACCAAGAACTTGCAGATGACATTGTCATGGGCTGCTCCAATTCTGACCCTGCCATGACAAACCTTGCTACCTGGCTGGAGGACAATGGCCTGCTCCTCAACACTCCCAAGACGCAGTTGCCGTTCATTCGGCCACGAGGCGCAGCTGCAATACACGGAGGTCTTCTGCAATGGCGAGAAATTCTGTGTGACCCCTACAGCCAAGTACCTTGGTTTAGTCCTGGATAATGATTTATCCTGGGCTCCACATGTGAAGTATATTGGTCGCAAGACAGCGCGAACAATTGGTCAGCTCTGGAGGCATGGACGAGGACTGAGTTTGCTTCCCCGGCGAACATGGTTTCTGAGCATGATCCTTTCTCAGCTGCGTTATGGTTCAAATGGTTTCTTTCCAGGACTTAGCGCACACCTGCTTGATTAAGTCTCCAAACTCTCCAAGACGGGTCTACGGTCAACCCTCCAACAGCGTAATGTCGTACCCACAGCTACTCTTCTATCCCTGCTGGTGTCCCCAGCCTACTGCAACTGCTAAATCAAAAGTTTCTGGTCCTAGTTCATCGGTGCCTCCACCACAAAGCTAGCCCCCTGCTTTAGGAGATGTTCATAGGCACTGCTCGAGTAGGCGTCCCCAGCAACATCCGGGCAACTTGAGGGCAGCAGTCCAATCTGCTATGTGTGCCTTTTCTCCGCGGTCCCTTGGGGCGACGTTCCATCCGGTTCGTGGCAAGTGTCTAGTGGAATGCTCTTCCCGTCAGCGTCAGAACTGAGGGTGGAAAGCGGAGCTTCCAGGCTCTCACACGTGCATTACATTAAGAGGTGACTGCAGCGGAGCAGTAACTCGGTCAGCTACTCTCACATACTGATCGATCTCTGTCTCGATATCTCTCTCTCTCTCTCTCTCTCCCTCCCCTCCCTCCCCCTCTCACTCTCCCTCCTCTCTCCCCCTCCCTCTCACTCCCTCTCTATCTCTTTCTTTCTCTCTCTCTCTCTCTCTCTCTCTCTCTCTCTCTCTCTCTCTCTCTCTCTCTCTCTCTCTCTCTCTCTCTCTCTCTCTCTCTCTCTCTCTCTCTCTCTCTCTCTCTCTCTCTCTCGCTCTCTCCTTTCTCCCCCCCCCTCTCTCTCACTCTCTCACTCTCTCTCTCTCAATCTCTCTCTCTCTCTTTCTCCTTCTTTCTATCTTTCTCTCTCATTCTCTCTCGCTCTCTATCTCTCTCTCATTCTCTCTCTCATTCTGGCCCCTCTCTCACTCTCTCTCTCTCTCTCTCTCTCTCTCGTTTTCTCCCTTTCCTCTCTCGTTTTCTCTGTCATACTGTATCTACGACCTAAGTTTTATTTTTCACTTCTTCCCCACTCATCTACTACCATGTTCATAATCATTAAGAGAGCATGTCTCTCTTCCAAGAAATGCAGTGTATGATGGACCTACTGGACACAGCGTTCACTTGCGCACCTGCACTGATGACAGTTCACTTTCGTCCCAATGCAGACCACCCGCTTCTACCTCGTCTTGATGCCTCAAAGGCAGCTGGACAGAACTACGCAAAAAACCTCTTTTCCGATACAGGCCCACCATGACTTACAGGGTTTGTAATTCGGTTGTGGCTTTGAACAGCCCGCCAGGTAGGTCAACCAGTTGATTATACCTCAAATTTCTGGGAGAACAAAGTAGAATTTGGATAAGATGTACATTGTACGTCAAGTGTGTGGGTTACAGTGAGATCTGCGTCTCACCCACCGGTGTAGATTAGAGAGAGAGAGAGAGAGAGAGAGAGAGAGAGAGAATGATAGAGAGAGGGAGAATGAGAGGGAGAGAGAGAAACATAGGGAAATGAGAAAATTAAGGAGATATATCCGGTTGATTTGAGGTTGCACTGTCGGGCTAATATAGGATTACAAGTACATTGATTTGTAACTAGTTGGATGAACATAATTATTGCCACACGCAGAGCCTTCCAGCTCTTACGACAGGCAGCTGTTGGCCAGAGCGAATGGAGATCTCCCAGAGTCAGGAGTCTACCCTGCCCGGCTTTCTGCAAATCTTGATGCAGCATGCTGGGAAGAGTGACGCGTGGCCGGCCAAGCCATCTGGTGCTGTTGTTTGCGAAAAAGATTTCCATTGCCGATACTGCGGGGGTTGATGGTGGCAGCCGCAAGATGTGACCAAATAGACGCCACCTGGCACGGCGTACGAAGATGCTGATCTCCGCCATTTGGCACCTCTGGTACATTGCTTCATTGGAGATGCGCTGCGGCCATTTGATTCCAAGGAGAGAACTCAACTGACGTCGTTGGAAGGCATCCAACTTTTGGAAAGCAGATTGCGTGAGGCCGCAAGTGCCACAGTTGTACGCGAGAACGGGTAGGACGAACGCCGACTACAGTCAGAGGCGCAGACGCTCACTCACAGCAGATCTCCGTTTCCAGAGGTTAAACATCGAAGTGAAGGCCGCTGAAGCAAGCTGCTTCATTCGTGCTACGTCAACCTCGTCGCCAAGAAGATATCCTAATTTTTTTTCGGACCATTCTCCACTCCTCACCAATACTTTCGTTGCTACTGGGCACCTAAGGTTCCGTTTTAATTGGGTTGACAGTCAGTGACCCTATCAATATCAACTGGAAATGTAATATCATCAAACATCCAAATACTAGGGACCTTTCGCACCCCGCGTACGGATACGAAACGAATGCTGATTCGTCACCTGGGTTCGAGGATTTGTCAGAGTCCCTGCGGAGAACTCGTTTTCACGAATGGAAGCCTCTTCATTCGTGGCACGCTCCGAATCCATCAGGTACACATTTATTTGGATAGGTACACATGTTTTGCAAGGTACACATTTTTCCCTTGATTCCATGATCCATGCACGTGTGCGTGTAAAAACCCGTACGCCAAGCTACCGGCGCCCGCGGCCGTATTCATAGTTGCCATGCACATTTGCATGACGACTTGCGAAACCTGAAATCAGTTTTCAACGAAACGATTACGAGCCGAATCAAACTTTCGTTTCGCATTCGTTTCGTAGCAAATGCGAAAGGTCCCTACTATCTTATAATACCCGAATACCATAATATCGAAGAGAAAAGGACATATGGATACGAGTTAAGAGTAACTCTCAATCACTGTAACATGATACTATATACAGTCAGAAAGTGCAATAACTAGGCACAAAACTGACAGAGTACTGAAACATTCGACGTCCTGACACCTAGCTTCAACACATCTCCGTAGCGCTAACCGACAGCCTTCCAACTTGGAAGGTTCAAGGTTATGGAAAAGACCAAAGAGGGGAACTCGTATCCATATGTCCTTTTCTCTTCCACATTTATTTATGGCTCAACATCCGAGTTTCAAATTACCATAATATCATTATGATTATCAACTCCCTCAGTATTCAAACTGTAGCAATAGAATCACACCATCTATCACAATAGCAACATGCAATAACTATCATAACGTACCGCATTCGATATCCATACTTATCTTGTTTTCTTTTTTCCGTCTTGCATGTTGCTTTCTGCCTTAACATCAGCATCTTCCATATTAATTTTGATATCTGCTTACCACCACTCATTCTTTGACTACTGTGATAAAGACATTTACGAGTGAAAGATGAACGTGGTGTCGCGACTCATAGCAAATGTATGATTTCCGTTCGACGTAGTGTCCGGATACCATCGATGTTTTATTTACAAGGTTGACCGATATTAAGGTGGCTCATACCCAATTAAATTAAATAAAAAAATCACGATTCGCGTGAGACTTGGCTGGAAGCCGGACTTTCCGCATCCGTAGGAACGCCACCACCCTTCAAGGATCAAGGCGCAGATGCAGCCCCTAAAGCGGTGGGAGGTGAGTAGATCGGCTCACCAGCAAGTGATCAAAGACCGAAAATCCCATTCACTGCATCCATGATTTCCTCGTGCTAGGCCACGAGTTCCCATTAACTGTGGGTCGCAGCACGGCTGGAAAAAATCCTTTCGCTTCCAAGCAGGACTTGAACCTGGTACCCTATGTTTCTCATTCATGATCTTAGACCAGCTCACTATGCCTGCATACCCAAATCGGAACATAAAAACGACCTGATCGATTTTGTTCAAAATTGCACAGCTCTACTACCAGAATATTGTCAGTTCCGAAAAATAGGAAGGATTGAAACATATCTTCATAGTTAAAACCTGATTTGACATTTCTGGTATGTTGGAGTATGTTGCACAAACACATATCCCAGCATTTTGCTTCTACTGTATCTGAGTGGTGATTTCTGCAGTCAAGCCAAGCCGAATAGGGTGGCTGGGCTTTCTTCTCAGGGTTCTTGGCTGCCCATACTAACAATCTCATTTGGCTCCGAAAAGCAAATATCTGTACTTCGCCGGGTTTTTTTCCCGAAAGTGGCCAGATTTCTTCAAGAAGTACAGCCAGCTATGTGGTTCATACACTAAACATTAGATATTCGATATTGAACCAAAGTGAAGGACCTAGGAGCACGGGTTGCTGAATCCAATATTGGCTGACGTGTGTGGTGGACAGAAAGCATTATAGTCATACATAATGGCCGTATAGATTTCATTCAAATGTTGCAAAGGTATTTAAAAATAGTAATGGGAAGAGTTTACCGAGTTATGGCCACTGCAGCTACCAGAAGCATACTTTGTCAAGTACTACCAACACGGAGTTCCACCTGGAAAAGTCTTCCACGAGCGGCGTCAGATTCGGGTCATAAAGGGTGGTCAGGATAAATGAGATCAATCAACGAGATGCAAAATCCCCAAATCCCATTTGCCACATCTCCAAAGAACAGAACTACGACAAAAATGCCTTTTTACGGTACATGCACAACATGACTTACAGGTTTTGTAATTTGGTTGTGGCTTTGAACAGCCCGGCAGGTAGGTGAACAAGTTGATTACGGTACAAATCTCTGGGACAACAAAGTAGAATTTTGATAGGATGTATATCACTTCCTGGAAGAATATCTTATTACTCTATTTTGTCGTACTAGTTTGTAGGTGGAGTGTGTGGGTTACAGTGAGGGCATTTACCCGCCCGCCTGTGTAGATTCACACCAAGTTTGAGCTAAGAAGTCTGAAGAAAATGTTGAACGCTGAATTCGTCGGGAATGGATGTGTTAGTGTCTCTACAGTAAGATCGGGCGCCGAAGAACACCTCGCCGAAGAACACCCAGGCTGGAAAACCGGCAAAATTTAAGAACAGTCCAGGCTAGAATTATCAGATTTAAGAACACTAGATCTACATTGTACGTAGATCTACATTGTACATGTATGGGAGGTGAGTACATGTCATGTACACGTGTAAACAGTAACTGCTACATGTACAGTCATTCCCATTTACGACACCCACTACTGGCACTAGTTTAGAAGTATTACATTGCACTACAATCATGTACATGTACATGTACATGACAAACGTCATGACGTCACTCGACTCGCCGCGCGCGCGCGTGTGAATAAGAACGGTCTGGCTAGAATCAAAAATTTAAGAACTTTCCTAGGCTGCGCTCGAGCCCCTGCGTTCTTCGGCGCCCGATCTTACTGTACAGCGTGCAAAGTAAATATACGTCTATGGAGGTGCACGGCTGGATGTGGCTGCCATTGGAGTCTGGTAGGTTTGAGCAAACATTTTTCGATGCTCGGGTGTATAACCCTTATCCTCGTTCAAACCGAAACCCCGCCTCCCTGGTGTCCGTCTATGCCAGACACGAGAAGGAGAAGTGTCGCAGCTACGAAGCACGAGTTTTGCACATCGATCATGCGTCTTTTGTCCCCATCGTCCTCAGTTGCACTGACGGGCAAAGCAAAGCAGCGAAGGCTCTCTACCGCAGGGTTGCGTCCATGGTATCGGAGAAGATAGGAGAGTCTTTCTCGTCGGTGATTGCCTTTCTTCGAGTGAGGTTGGGCTTTGCCCTTGTCCGAGCAGCTGCCGTGGCCATTCGTGGTCATCGACGTCCAGCCTCTTCCTCTGCCGTTGACCAGAACCGGTCAGCAGCTTTGGCTGTTGCGCAGTGTGGCTTGGCGTTGTGAGAACTAACTACTTGCACTGTATCCCATTGTATTTGCCCTTTCTGTCAAATATCCGTCTTTTCTTTTTCTCTATTTATTTTCTTTACCAGGCGTGGGCCATTCCCTGGACTATCAAAATGGGTGCCTTATTATTTTATCTGTTTCTGTTATAATGACAGTCCATTGCAGATTACAATTTTTTTACATCTATGCTGTGATAGGTGATTTCAAGTAGTGCTTTGAGCCGAATTCTGACTTTGGAGCTCATAATATGGCCGAATTTGGACATTCTCTCAGCCGATAGAAAAGCCGATTAGGCGAAAAATCAGGTCGATTTGGGAAATGCCTAGCTGGTGCTCATAGCCAATGACACTACCATGCTCGCTGCGAGTTCTGGGGCTAGTCAAGGAGATATTGCTTTGTGGCAAACAGAGAGCAGATGCGGAGGACCAGGCAAGCAGTGCAGCTGGTATGGGTAGGCAAGCGAAGCAACAGTACAGCGGATGGCCAGCCTGGTTAGGTGTCTACCAGGACCGAAAGCATCCAGTGCGCAGCGCTGAACATTGTTCAGACGCTGGAGGTGACTCTGCACAGCTCCCATCCACACAAGAGGCGCATACTCCATGACTGGTCCTACGAACGCCTTATATACGGTCCACCTGCCGGCGCAGGTGAGGATGTGGGCGGCTCTGTTTAGGACCCCAAGCCGTTGGCGTGCATGGGAGGCTGCAGAGCGTAGGTAGTTTGTAAATTTTATTATTTAAGGGGTCAGCCTACCCCTAAATTCCATATGGCATTCAATTGACCGTAACTTTGGTGTCTCTCCATGGATTTGAGTGAAAGTCCACACACTTCTTCCACTATGCTGGCTCTCTGGACATGATTTAAAAGTTCTTGAGCCTCGCTGACAGGCTTTCCAGGCCGGAAAAACTCAAAATTCCAGCATAGTGCCTCGGTGTGCGCGACACCCAGGAGCCAAAAGAATGCATTTACAATTTGTTCTCATTTTCGTGCCCATTCTGTCCGTGCGCGGGATCCAAACCTAAAACAAGTCTACAAGCAGCCATGGGTGGTGGGGTAGGGCCCCTCAAAGTGGCCCTTGAATCTGTGACAACGGAACGAGTTTGCGTTCTCTCACAGACTCCCACAGACCCAAGTCAATTTTAGACTTTTTTAGGTTTAGCACGTGCTACGAGGTTGTACCTTTGATACAACATCCAGTGCTGGGACGTCCACAGCAAGCCATTTCCACAGCGCTGCACACCAAATCCAGGATACCCTCAAAAATCGGCAAAGACTACCACTCGCGTTCCACCACTGCCTAGTACTGAATCCTACCTGACTTCTTGACACAACCCAAACTTGCCAAAGTCACTAAATCAACGTCAACCACAATATTCAAGCCACATATCTGCAACGTCACGATTGTGCTGGCAAAGGTCATGCTGCACGTGCAGCCCAATACGTGGCTAAAAACGTGATTTTTGGACTTGGAGCAAAATTCTGCACACTTTCGCGTGTTTCCATGAAAGGACAAGTTTCACACGGTCTGCTCATATTCAAATACAGTGCTGCCAAAAAATGACTGTGTGCAAAAAAATCTTTTTCCTTGCAAGGGCACATTTTTTCGGCCATAACTCTTGAACGGCTGGTCAGATCGAGACAAAATTTTCAGAGATTTTGCAGCTATTCATGCTCTTTCAACTGACGTAGCACTCGATATGAATTTACAAATTCGATTTTTCACCGAATTTTCGGGTGGTCTGCCACCTTAAAATTAACGATCTCCCAAAGGCATAGCCTATCTGGGGGATCAGGTGATCGCTGAAGGTCAACTTGGTGTCCATCTTCACACCAAGGAGGGTGATGCTGGTTGTCTCGTGTACCAGTGTGCCACCAAACAGGAGTGCAGGGAGATCTAAGCCGGCGCGTCTGAGGGTGACTGTCATGGCCTGGGATTTGGTCGGGTCAAAAATCAATTTCCATGTATGGCCTCTGAGGGTGCCTGTCATGGCCTTGGATATGGTCGGTTGAAAAATAACTTTCCTTGTTTGGCCCCACTGGTGCAGTCTGTCAATGCCCAGCCTGCTGCAGCCAATACAGTTCCTTTTCACAGTGCTACCCGGCAGAGCGATACGCAATCGCAGCAGCCATTCGTTTTCCTCAAACTCATTCTTGACACAGATGTCCTCGAACAGGTGGAGATAACGCTCCAGCGGCTGCCTTCCGTCGTATGTCGATAATTTCATCAAAGGCCCACGCCCACCGCTGCGACAGGGAGCCTCCGCTGTACCTCCCATGAACCTCACACGCGCAGTGTCACCCATTCCATCAACTTATCGCCTTCAAATACATACCGAATTCCGTTGGCGAAAATGTTGGCTTCCAAATAACCTAGTTCCTGTTCCATGCTCGCTTCGTATCCTGGTGTGGTCTCCAAATGTTGTGAACCCTCTGTGATTCTCTAAATTGTCAGGTACGAACGACCACACTGCACGAGGACAACTATTAACTCTTGAGAGTATATTTCACTTCGATCAACAGCAACTAACGCTCAAACCACCAGGTAGTTATAGCGTGAAAATGACAGCAAACACATACAACATACAACTTTAGCGCACACAGCAAATCACACATAACGCATGTAGCGTATACCACGTCGTACACATCAGCGGTACGGCGGAGTCAAGATACAACTGCATTGAAACGAACACAATGCCACAAGCGAGAAGGCCTGTCACACTTGAGAAATTGTGGTTTCATAACAATAAGAGTTTCCATGACTTTCGAGATTATGCACAGCAGCAAGAGTACATAACCCCCAAGAGTGTGCAACTGCCTGTACAACCACTATGCTGTGCTGCGACGGCAGAACTTCACATCACGTGACATGGTTCAAAAGGTTATGCTGGCAAACAGTGCAAAGTGACGACAAGAGAGTTCCCAAAGTACCCAAAGCTGGGCTGCGTACAACCCTGTATCTATCATGCACAGAGTACAAATAATGTGTACGGGTTCATCACGTGATGTGAAGTTCTGCTGTCGCAGACCCCATAGCTGGAATTGCACACTCTTGGGGGTTATGTACTCTTGACAGCAAGGGTACGGGCCTGTAATTCTTAAGGCTTGAGCGGGAAGATTGCTTGTGGATTTAAACCATGTTGGCCGTCTTCCACATCCTAGGTCGGACTCCAGACCGGAAGCACTGATCCCTGCTGTTACAGAACTCTGTATGCTCGTGTAGCGACCGGCCTGCCCATACACGTACTCACTACTCCCTGCTCACCCAATTTTTCATCACTGTTCCTCCTCTCTCACACCATTAGAGAGGTTCCGCATAACGTAATTACGTTAGTAAAAAACGTAGTCGATCTACGGAAAGTCTTACGTAAACTGCATGCGGATCTGGGTTCCGCCATACGGAGTTTTCAAATCACGTAGCTGCCCTTGGCAACTCCGAACGCGGCAGTGTACGACCAGATCGACCTGGGGAGAGAGTCATAAACTTGTACCCAATCCATTAACGGACCAGCTACGTTATCAGAGCCCTATCTACGTACTCTCCGTAGACAACTTTCCGTAAGTGGAGTGCAAACTCGCGAATTCACGGGTTTTTCCCGCCCACTAACGTAAAGTTGCTCAACTTTACGTAGTGCGGAACCTCTCTATTATCGCTTATTTGTCACTGGGTACCGTGAGAATAAAGTTTTGACAACAACCACGTTATGAATTTGCAGTTGAAAGCCCTATTTGAATAAGGTGACCAGCTGTCTTTGATGATGCTGTGCGGTCCATGTACCCCATCTTTTTCATAGCTACGGTAATAAGGCTGCGTTTACACAAAGACAAAATGAAACGAAACGAAACGTAACGAAAACGGGCTGGCCTCGAATCGTTTTCA